TCTGGATCCCAAGACCAATTCAAAACGACCGTAATTGACACCTTGGTCGCGGAGATTCAAAGTGTACCTGGAGAAGATCGCTGTGTTTTGTTATTGGGATACAAAGAACAGATGGAAGAGATGTTCCAGGTACGCTCAAATGTTCAGTTGAATTACCGAGTGTGAAATCTGATGTATCTACTCAGAATGTGAACCCTGGGCTCGCTCGTAGGTTTGCCATTGAAAACGCATTCACTTTCGAGGACTTCACTGAGCCCCAACTTCGGGATATCTTGGACTTCAAGCTGAAGGATCAGGACCTGGGGGCCACTGACTCGGCGAAACAGGTTGCTAGTGACCTTCTGAGCAGAGCCAAGAACCGTCCTAACTTTGGCAATGCTGGTGAGGTGGAGAACATGCTCGGTCTGGCAAAATCCCGCTATCAGAAGCGTCAAGCATCAGTCCCTCCCGATCAACGTTCCGATGTGATCTTCGAGCCTCAGGATTTCGATCCAGATTGGGATCGCGATCGCAATGCTGCAGCTAATTTGACGAAACTCTTCGAAGATCTTGTTGGTTGTGACGACATCGTGACGAAGTTGGGCGACTATCAGAAAATTGCTCGTGCGATGAAGGCTACTGGTGTGGATATGCGCAAACAAATTCCAACGAGTTTCATTTTCAAAGGACCCCCAGGTCAGTGACAGTTTCTCATCCGGAGCAGGGAGTTGATGCTTTGCTCATCCCTAGGTACTGGAAAAACAACTATTGCGAGGAAGTTCGGTCAAGTGTATTATGACATGGGCTTTCTTTCTTCGTCTGACCTTATCGAGTGTTCCGCCTCCGACCTTGTAGGGCAATATGTGGGTCACACCGGCCCGAAGACGAAGAAACTTTTCGAGAAGGCCTTGGGCAAAGTGCTTTTCGTGGACGAAGCGTACCGGCTTAGTAACGGGCATTTTGCACAAGAAGCCATTGATGAGACCGTCGGGCTCATGACCAACGAGAAGTTCATGAACAAGATGGTCATCGTTCTTGCAGGTTATGAGAAAGAAATGAATGCTCTTTTGAGCGTTAATCCTGGTCTCGCCAGTCGTTTCTCCGAAGAAATCACTCTAACCAACATGACGGCGGCCAAATGTCTTCAAGTGCTCGACAAGGAATTGCAGAAGACGCAGATCGTCTTGTCTGAGCTAGCTGACACCACTTCGTCTGCTTACTCTGAGATGGAGATTATCATCGACCGGATGTCACGCTTGTCGAACTGGGGGAAACGCTCGGGACGTCAAGACCATTGCCCAGAGACTTGTCCATCATGCATTCAGTGCTGTGGCAAATAGTTCTGGGAGTACCCCATTGCTCACTGCAGACGAAGCTATAGCTATCATGAAGGACCTGCTCAATCAGCAGCGCCAGCGACTCAATATTCCACGTATAACCACTTCACCCCCGTCAGGCAAACTGCCAATGGCATCGTCCAGCAATTCCGTTCCTCCTCCGCCCCCTTCCCAATCAGGTTCTTCTTCCGCAACCAAAGGATCTCAACCACCTAAACCACCTTCCAAAAGGAGCTCTTCATCCAACCAGTCGCCACCAAAGCCTCCTCCGCAATCAGGGTCGCCCTCCACACCTAGCGGATCCCAACGACCTAATAAGCCACCTTTCGCCCCCCAACGTATCATCTAGCACATCGCGCCCGAAAGTGCCGCCGTCCCCGTCACCCACTCCCTCTTCCACTCCAAAAGCCACTCCAAAAACAACTCGTCGCCAAAGGCAGCCCAGAGGTTCTCAACAGGCGTCCCCTGCACCATCCAGCTCAAACAGTCTGCCTCCTTTCTCCATTTCAGGTTCCCAAACTGCTCCTCCTATTCTTTCGACAGGCAGTACCCCGCCGACTCCAGACCAGCGAGGGAAAAAAATGCAGTTGCCAGTTCAAGGCACCCCGCAGCCCCAATCTACCAATAATGTTCAGCGTGACCCAGGAATCGCTGATGTTATCTGGAGGCAGTTGGAAGCAGATAAAGCAGCGGCGGCAGGAGGCAAAAAGGAAGGCGATTGAGGAGATGAAGAGGCGCGATGCTGAATTGAGTAGAGCCGCTCAAAGACAGAAAGCTGCAGAGCTGCAGCTCGGGCCCTTGCTCAGGCGAAGGCACGAGACCAGGAAGAACTTAGGCGCCAACAAGAGGCAGCTCGAATTCAAGAGGCGCAGGCGAAGGCAGAAAGAGAGAGAATTGCTGCTGCACTCTCCCAGATGCGTCGGGAGCAAGAGAAGAAGAGACGTGAAGAAGAGAGGATACAGCAGAAATTAAGAAACCTGGGCGTCTGCGTGCAAGGCTACCCATGGACCAAACAAACATCAGGCTACCGTTGTGCTGGCGGCCGGCATTTTATTCACGACTCCCAGCTACGCTAGTTCTGCATCGATTCTGCGTACAGTAGCATTTCCTTTGGAGTTCGGATGAGTGTGAAGTTTTGAGTTACAGGACGTGTGCACTGTGTTCGATTATAACGTTGGTAGGCATAGATTGCCATTTGCTTTCTCGGAGGACATTTCAAGATCACCTTTTTCATCCCTTCAAGTTCGCCTCAAATTTGCGCCTTGAATAAATTAGTGGCGTTGGAAGACTACATGTAATTGGTTGAGAACCTTCAGCACGCAAGTAACTCGCGTTCTGAACCCCAGTGAAAACAAGCAAGATAGAGGTTGATACGTATTGAAAAAGGTAGATACAAATTGACAGTTCAATATGAATCAATGTGTAACGTGAAAAATGAGACTCTTATCGATGTTATTGATAGAGATCGAACTAGTAATATTTACAGATTGATATGCGTTCGATCTCGCTCCAGGTTGTTTTTACACTCGCAATCGAGCCACATCGATAGACAATGAAACACGTGAATTGAATTATAGGTATCGCTACGCAGGGATATACATCAATGCAGAACGAAACACGACGATGCAGAGCGAAAAATGACGAAAAAAACAGCGCCCTCACTAGCGCGGTCTGCCCAGTAACCCAGCTACACCCCCTCGCCTCGCTGCAGCGCTAGTCATCTCCGTCGGATCCAGCGAACTCTTCCTCAGCGTTGCCTTGAGCCCCACTTGTAGCAACTGCCGTCAATGCATTTGTTGCCAGCTGTAGTAATACATTGTAGTTAGTTTGCATGCATTGATATAAAGAGACTCCTCACCAATGCTTTAGCTCGCGCTTCAAATACCTGTTGAGGAGCGCATCAGGTTGAGTAGAGAATAAATAAAAAATATATACGGCCTTGTCTGCAGTGGGTAGTTGCTCCCAGTATACCTTGAACTGCTTCGCTGTGCCCAGCAGGTTCCCGGCGGCTTTCCACGCACTTGCACATAGGTTTCTATTGAGGACTGTTAGAATTAATCTCGACTTAAGAATATATGCATACCGTGCATTAATTGTCTTCTGGATGCGCATTGCCTTGGCCTTATTTGGTGCATTCGGATCTTTCGGCACTGCGGGAGTCTTTGCTTTGACCGGACGAGGCTTCGGTTTTGATTTTGCATTGACTGTGGAGGGTGCAGGAGTCACGCTTGTGGTGACAGGAATAATAGATGATGTTGATGGTGTCGCAGGAATAGGTGGTGATGATGAGCTCGAAGGTGTCTGTCGGAAGGTGCCAGAAACACCAGCTACCCTAGAGCCGTGTTTACCATTCAATTATTAGTGTGATGTCTATCTGTCACAATTGAGAAAATACTTACAGAGGATTCTTTACCTTGGTGTTCATTGTGCCGCCATCAGAACCAATTAATCAACAATGTACTACTTACCTGAGGAACAATGCTAGCTGATGGGACCTCAGGCATGTTGACTAGGGCTCCGTGAACAACTACCGAATTTTTGACGTTGGAGTTTTTGACAGGTTTTTAACGTGTTTTTAACAAGTCGATAACTCGGGGTTGATACTGGGGTGTCAAAAACTCGTCAAAAACTAAAATATATATGTACATGATCCCGGGAATATAGCCTATTGAATTCTCTACCTCCGCCGATGTATACGAGTTTTGGCTAGCAGTCCAGGCCGCATTTGAAGATCTCGCAGTACTATGCAATTGGTGTGCAACCCCGTCATTGATAGACCACATGGATCCTATCACACCGCGAAATCTGGAGAATTGCATCGCTGCAGCGAGATGGATGGCTTCACCGGGGCTGGACTCATCACCAACAGTAGTGTGGCAAGCTGATAAGAATGTGAACTCCAGGTTCTGCCAATGGGATCGGATGATCTTACCAAGTGGGACATGGATGGAATCTTGGGCACTTGTGATGAACAAGGCATCACAGCTGTACTTGCTTGCATTGAGGATAACGACAGGACCACCTTTTGCCGCCTTCTGGAAGTCAGAAAATAGCGGAGGTAGGAGAAACTGGCGAAAATCAGGTAGCAGGCGGATGGGTGAGACCACATCGTCCCATTGAATGGTTAGTTGACGGATTTGTGGGGACTTGTTTTCAGTAGACTCATCGAATGCGTGACGAAGGCGGAAGCCGAGCTGCTCTGCTGCCAATGTCATGCCGGCATTACCTGACACGGAAAGTTCATCCAGTGGTGTGCCGAAGCGTGCAAACTGGGTCCAGAATACTGCATGGCCTTGCTCCACCAGTTCCACAGCAGCCGGGAAAGAGCCACGACGAACACCGCATGAGAATGCATCCATTGCAAAAGATGATGTAGCATCCTTCACTGCATTGAAATGGTGGGAGGAGGGTGATAGAGTAGTAACGTGCTGATTGAGCAATCTTAGGGTGATTTGATAGGCCATCAATGCAGAGCCATGGTGGAGCTTGACTTGGCAGCACATTATAAGGGCCCATACAGTGGGCATTTGCATTACCGTAGTGAAAAAATGTCAAAATGACCTGAAAAAATACATTTTTTGAGTGTGTCAAAAACTGGTCAAAAACTAGTTTTTAACTCGTGTCAAAAACCCCTCGAAGGTGGAGGTGAGTTAAAAACTCATCGTTAACTCCATGGGTAGTTTTTCATGGAGCCCTAATGTTGACATGAGTGGGTTTGGGAATGGCTGGATCCATTGCTGTAGTCTCCGTGATGGCATCGCTTGGATTGATGAAGTTGTGATTACTAATCATTTTCAACATAGGATCTATGAGGTCGTCAAGAGAGACAGAGTCTGGAACAGTGGTAGGGATGCTGGGAGTATTAGGCTTGACAGGAATGGTAGGCTTGATGGGAATGGTAGACTTGACAGGAATGGTAGTAGACTCAATGGGGAGTTCTGAAGTAATGCTGGTAGGGCTGTCCACATCCATAGTATACTTGAACTCTGTGTCCTCCAGTAGAATCACCTCGATTTTTTGCTTCTTGCTGCATGATGATGATGAGTCCACATTTGCTCGCTTCTTGCCATTAATAATATGATACAGTGGCTCAAAAAACTGTCTGCATGTTTTGACATTTTTCACTATCTATGATATTGTGTGAGAACTCACAAATGCCTCAAGGACATGCTTATACCACATTGTAGTATGGCTTCAGGGCTTTCATTTGAGCCATACACTGTGGGAATCAGTGGAGATATGGTGGAGACATAAGGCTTATAAAATGATGACTCATGTGGACAGTTTTTTGAGTGTATATTAAAACTATATAAATCATTATTTATGACACCACAAAAATCATGCCACTATTATATAAATTATGAAGTGGTGTCATTATGTTATTTTATGACTATATCTAACTATATAAACCAGAATATCTCATGTATCATAGTCATAATCACCATGAAAGCCATCTCCTCTGCTCAAAGAGATAATATCCTCTCTCTGTCTTATGCTGGCCTCTCTGCTTGCCAAATTTCCTCTAGAACTGGAGTATGCAAGTCCACTGTGGCCAAGTTTATCAAAGAAAGCCACCCAGACAAGGAAAACTCTTGTGGAGGACATCCATCCAAGCTTACCTCTACTGACAAAAGGGCTATTATCCAACATATCACTACAGGAAAGGCTGATAATGCTGTCCAAGCCACCCATTATATCAATTCCACCATCACTACCCCTGTCTCTTCACAAACTGTGAGGAATGTTCTCAAGGCAGCTCATCTCAAGGCAGTAACAAAGAAGAAAAAGCCTCTTCTCTCCATCAAACATAGGCAGAGAAGACTAGCCTTTGCCTTAGCTCATCAACACTGGACTGTAGAGGACTGGAAGCATGTTATATGGTCAGATGAGACCAAAATCAATAGGATTGGGTCAGATGGGAAGGTATATGTATGGAAAAAGAAGGGAGATGGCCTAACAGACAGAGAGGTTAATGGGACTGTCAAGTTTGGAGGAGGTTCTTCAATGGTATGGGGCTGTATGGGATGGAATGCTGTGGGAATGCTTGCTGAGGTTGAGGGGAAGATGAATGCTGAGCAGTATGTGGACATTTTAAATGACCACTTGCTGCCTAGCTTGGTAGAATCAGGGATTGATGAAGAAGATATCATTTTCCAACAGGATAATGATCCCAAGCACACATCCAGAGGAGCTAAGGAATGATTTGAAGAACATAACATCAATGTTCTTGACTGGCCAGCACAGTCTCCTGATGTCAATGTCATTGAACATCTCTGGGGAACACTCAAGAAAAAGCTTCAAGCCTATGAAAACCCCCCTAAAGGAGTATGGGAGCTTTGGGAGAGAGTAGCAGTGGAATGGGGGAAGATCACAGCTGAGGATTGCTAGAAATTAATTGAGAGTATGCCTAGAAGGATAGAGGCAGTAATTAAAGCCAAGGGAGGTCATACAAAATACTAGAATACCTGGTTATTATTGTAAAATACTTGAGTCAAAAAACTGTCTGCATGAGTCACCATTTTGTGAGCCTTGTATCTCCACCATATCTCCACCGATTCACACGGTGTAGGGCTCAAATGAAAGCCCTGAAGCCATACTACAATGTGGTATAACCATGTCCTTGAGGCATTTGTGAGTTCTCACACAATATCATAGATAGTGAAAAATGTCAAAACATGCAGATAGTTTTTTGAGCCACTGTACTTGTACCACTGTGAGTAGTTTTGTGTCGCAAGAAAATCTGCCTTCTAGTTGTCTGAACAGTAACAAAACTTGATGAAATTCATCCTGATTGTATGGTAGAATGTTTTCTTGACGTCAAGTGCCACCTGCAACCATCCAGGGGGGAGCTTTAGATTCCCTTGGTTGAGTTGATGGAGGTAAGCAAAGAACACATTGTGCATAATCTTTGCGCAATGGCCATCCATGGGCACCCCATCAGCATCTTTGATATATTGGCAAGCTATGTTTTCACCCTTGGCAAGTCTGGATGACCCACACATGCTTGTGGATAAGCTGAGCTTGGTAACACTCTTTTTGGTCTGAACATGCTGTGTCCATCTTGCTCAACTCCAAAACTTGACAGATGGAAAATTTGCAGGACTGAGCTCCTTGTCAACATCGTCTCCTAGTGCGGGAATTGTTGTTGAATCTTGGGGATTCCGCCCAATGGCATTTGAAAGGGTGATAACAAGCCTCTGCAATTGGTGTTAGGGTGTAAATAACATAGAAAACCAACTCACTGTAATGCCTCTAGTTTCGCTGTGAGGAGTTCTCTATCCCATGCTAATTGATGATTCTGTTGCTCGAGTGCATGAATATGCTGCTTGGACTCCTCTAATTGGTTCTCAAGATGCATATATGCACTACTATTGTTGGAGTCCAGGGACAAGTGACTGCTATTTCTAGAGAAAAGGGAGCTGTGCAAAGATGCACCACTTGCAAGGCTTACTGAGTCCAATGGGGATGATTCATACCCATCAACTGGTGGGGTGCCAAGGTGTCCATAATAAGGGGTATCTTCAAGATGTCCCAAGAAATCCCTAGAGAAATCAAATGGTTGGTTAGAGTTGTGTATATTTTTATTCATAGTGTAGGTGAGGATTATTGATGTGACGTGATGATGGCAGGAGGAAAGGTGTTGTCGATGGTCATTGTATCGAGAACTCAAACTCATTGCATCCAAGTCTTTCAAACTCTGATTGATGTATCATTGTGTTATGCTAAGTCCATCATCATATTGCTAGTACTAGTAGTACTCCCTATCATGAAACTACTGCCACAATATGTACAGGACTTTTTTAACATGTCCTCGGAACCTGACCTCGATGGTTATGATGTGGACACAAGGTATGTTTCTGTCTGTTGTAGAATAATAAATCTAACATCATTGTCAGCATTTGTGTATCAGATGGCCAATCTGACATACCTCATATGACTCCGTCTGATGATCTTCTCCTGGATCCTGCCAGTGCATTCTGGAATCCAGAGCGAGTGTCTCTGTTGAGAGCACAACTTTTGATGTATGTTGTCTCTCTGCAAGTCAGATATTAGAAACTCATATAATCAAGGCCTCTTGTCTCTGTCGAAATAGTTGAAGCAGTCCTGATCTTGGCTACTATCCCTGATCCTGAGAGTGTGACAGAGCCTGAGAGCAAACATGAAGCACCATGAAGCAACCCTCAGCTCACTCCACTTGCCTCTGTCAAAATGGTCCCAGTCTTGGCTACTATCCCTGATCCCAAGAGTGTGACAGAGCTGGAGAGCAAACCCAAAGTGTGCACTGCTCTTCCTCCTGTTGTAACAACTCCAAAGCCCAAGAAGGACTGGACTGACTTTTTTGCAACACCAAGCCCACCTTCTCCAATGTCCAACTACTGGAAGTATGTGACACCAGAGGAGGATGCTTTATGGTATGATCGTGCTGGGACAGATGATGGCTTTCAAGTTGTTCATCAAATGAAGCAAGAGCTTTGTGAGATCAAGTAGAACTCAATTCTTGATATCATGGACATGTATAGTAGATTCTGAAATGTAAATTTATACCTCATCATCACCTCCATCCTTGTCTTCATCAATATGACCTGCAAATTGAGCAACATCAAGACCAGGTTTTTCGACAAGGAAGAAACAAAGTTCTGGGTTATTGGGGAGTTTATGGGGGACCATTGTGATGACAGCTTGAATCGCAAAAACCTTGACAACCATGAGTGCTTCATTGCCTTGATGTGTGCATGAGTATAAAGTATTGTAAGACTCCTGTAGAAGTTCATAGTCAGGCATGGAATAAAGGGATATGAGAGTGAGAGTCTTGATGGTTTCATTGAAAGTCATCTGAAAATAAAACTGAACCTTGCCAAATTGTATCTGGTCATTGATATGAAGCTGGTAGATTTTTAGCTGGAGTTCTGATAAGTAAAAACACTGTTACTCACCTTTACACTTTGGGCCATGCGTGGCATGCGTGTCATAGCATTTTCCTTCCAACTCGATTGTGCAACTTGTCCATTTGGAATTTGTAGACGTGCCCATTGAATGATGCAGGGGCATTGATCAGCAGTAATATCAACCCCATGAGCAGTGAGATAGGAAATAAGGGCTGTTGCTTCACAAGCAAGCAAACAATGAGGGGTCTGTTCTCATTTGGTGAGGAGCACATATCCACAACCCAGGTCAACTGAACAGTGTGGGAGTGTGTCTGTTGGTGGGTTGAGAGTTGGAATCATGACTTTCAGTGCATTGACTTGACAACGTTGAACACCACGTTCAGACAAGTTAGCATATGGCTGAGAATGTGAATGAATTTCACAACCAAGGTTACCAATTGTCCACTCCATAGTCCACTGCAAGGAGCAGATCGGAGGACCCTTTGTGATGGTCTCAGGTGTGAGATGTCCAAGTGAATGTGCCCATGGTTGCATGAAATGGAGGCAGTCAACACAACACTGATAGTATAGGAGTTTGAACTCCTTCTCAAACTGCATGAGCATCTCATGAGCTTCACACAAGTCAGCTGCAAGAATTTTGTGTTGCTGCATGATTTGAATTCCATGAACAAGCTTGCAAAAGTTCGTCCAGTAGATATTGGGGAGAACACCATAGAGGATTGCAGGTCCAAGGCCAAAGAGATAGAGTAAGAACTCCCAAGCCTTGTATCCACTGTTGATTTTCTGTGCAGGGTTGCGAGGGGGACGATCGAATGATCTGGGAAGGTAAGGAGTTGCATCTGCTACAGCTTTTCCATGGTCCTGCCATACCCGACCCTTGAGAATGGCCCAGTCCCACGTCTCCTTGTCATTGGTAGGTTCACACTGAAATGAGCCACACCAGATGGGAATAAGTTCATCAGCAATGTTGATTGCAGCGAGGTGCATGATATCAGATCTGAAGCAGTTAGGAATGCCAAGGATGCTGTTAGGTTGTAAGCCGAGAAAAATAGTAGGTTTTGATATGCCTGTCTCAAGGCAGCACTGCTCATACTGAGTCTGAGTGCGTGATTCCATCAGGTACTTGAGGTTGTCAAGATAGTTCCCCGAAGATGCAGCAGGAAGGCTCTCAACATCAATATCAGGATGGTTAGAACCAGTGTGATCATAGTTGATAGGCTTGAGGAGTGCTGGATAATAGTGTCTGCCAGCACCTGGTTTATGGCACCCTCTTGTACCACAGTAAAGTCGACAGCCATTGCCTCCATGCGAACCTATGAGTCCATTGAAATAAACCATGCCTGGGCCATCTGCAGTTGTGAGAGCGAGGAAGGGAGTTGATTTGAATACATGATTTTGTGATGCATCCCAGATGGTAAGACCTTCATGCTGAACAGCTGCGAGGTGATATAGGCCAGGAAACAAGAACGAGTCCATGTTCTTTGGCTTGTTGGGACCAGGAATGAATCCTCCAGGTAGAACGTACTTCTTCTTGTAGCATTCCTGTGGGTGGTGGTCAAATACTACCCAAATATATATCCAACAGTCCGATTGCTTACTCTCATACAGCTGAGTGCCATCAATTGAAAGCATAAGTATAGGATCACCATCTTTGATCTTTCCTGATCTGACAGCGTCAAGATAGTCTGTGCCATGAAAGAAATCTTCATAAGCATCAACAACACCACCATTTGCCCTGAGCTTCTCAAGAAGAGCATTGGTTGCATCATCCCAGTATTGCATCTTTTGTGCACTGCTGGGGTCTCTCCAAAGTGCTTGAATCTGGTCTGCAATGGGGATAGTCTCGAAGACCCAAACAGGTACCTTTTTTCTCCCTTGACTCTTTCATAAGATGTTCTGGTCATAATGATCTTGCCCGCACTTTGGACACTTATCATGGTGTTGCCAGGGCCCACAAAATGCTATGCACGAGTCTATACACATGTCATGCACAATAGGCTGAATCCCACTGAGTAGAGCGACTTGATGACAGATTTGATAGTGTGATAACACTTTGGAATCAGGAAAGCGCTCCATGATAGCACTACATATTGAATTGTATGCAGCTTCAGTGGTATCGGTGAGGAATAGCTTTAGCAAGAGTAGTATGTTGGGATCATCGATACTCAGAATCTCTTGAGGTGGGTTGTGAAGGCATTCAAGAGCATCTAGCTCAATATTGATAACTCCATTGTCTAATGTTGCACTATGAAGAGCCTGAATAAAGATCATTGCATCTTTGATATCATCGAGTCGAGAGAGTCGAGAGAGTTCTGCTAGGTCTGCATCATTCAATCCAACGGTATGGTCTGTTCAAGGGTCTGCATCATTAGTGCCTCCTTGAATTTCTTCCTCCTCAGGCTCATGGGGTGGCACATTCTCATCTCTGTCATCCTGTCCTGCATACCCATCTGAGTCATCTTGCCCTGCATGCACATCCAAGTCATCTGGGCCAGGAAAGGCATTATCATAATGTTTGAATGCATCCAGATGGACCTGAGGCACATCATTGTGTTCCTCGAGTGCATCACCCTGACGAGTGACAATAAATCAGCAGATTTTAAATGATACATGCAACTTACTGCTGGAATGATCTGTTCAAACACATCTGGACAGACCTGAGGCACATCATTGTGTTCCTCGAGTGCATCACCCTGACGAGTGACAATAAATCAGCAGATATTGAATGATACATGCAACTTACTGCTGGAATGATCTGTTTATCATTGGACAGTGCATGGGTGCCACTGTCAATGCATTTACACTTGAGAGTATGGTGGTGTGCAGGCTGGATATCCACATCCGAGTCATTGAGCTGGACACTGCTAGAATTGGCAGAATTGGCCTGGATCAATGTGGTGAGAGTTTTATTGAAGATGGTGGCCTTGGGAGTGCGATATTTGGTGTGACAATAGTAGGTTGCTCGAGATACATGCTGGTGAACACCTGCACATTTCATGAGACAATCACAGAGGTACTCTTCCTGCATAGTATGATCGTGATATTGTAAATTACCTGAAGTGAGCAACTTAGTAAAAGCATGTAGGTTGACTCAGAGGAAATGCAGGACTGTGAAAAATACCCAGACCAGTATGCAGGAATGTGAGTGTGGCAGAGTGCAGAAATGAAAAACCAAATGTTATCTTCAGAATGTAGGATTGTTTGTATTGACATACATCAACATTCTTCATTTTATATTTATTGTATCTATCTCATTTGATTTATATCCACCTCTATTTTGCTTATTTTCACTGGGTCTGAACCCTAGACTAGGAGTCTCAGTTTTGCTTACACCCTGTCTGCCTTGTGACACGTCATTAGTCACTGTCACCACATTCAAGTTTTGAATTGAACATCATTTTTTAAAAGTTTTTGAAGGGAATAGATCAATAGTACAAACTATAATACATCTACTACTACAGTCGAGTGAGTCCCCTGATGAATCCCCAGGCTGAGGGTCCAGGGAACAGTTGCCAGACCAGCACAATGCAAAGGAGTTGGCCATCATCTCACAGGAGCCCAAGATGCGCACCAGGAGGTTCTCATCAGAGAGAAGAAAACAATGCCGGTAATGCTTCCAATCTTGGCAATTAATTCCGCCAGGACATTGAGCTTCATGGACATGAGCTCAGAAACAGAACTAGATGTCGGGGTAGGATATATGGTGAGGATCACTGAGATTAGCGACCATGTTGCACTGGTACTTGCATAGCACTGTAGTTCAGAATTCCAATGATGATGGACTTGGGAGGGGATTGGCAAATGAGAGAACTGGAACCAATTGTGCAGGGAGTGGGCAAAGCTCAATGTAGATATGAATCACAAGCAGAATGCTGGAAGCAAAGCACTCCTTCGTCACAGAATTGGTGACGAGTTTGAGACGCCAAAAGAGAGAACTTCAGCTGTGTCTGATATCTTGGAAGCTGATGGGATGAGGGGGTGATAGTGCAGCAAGTGACATGGTGAGTGCTGGAGTAGCTACTCTACACACAAAACAATGATATGCACTCATGCAGGACAGATAGTCAGATTCGAGTGCTGGGAAGCACCCACTGCTTGATTGGATGCAATAGAATATATTTGAAGACAAGATATTAAACCACACAATTCACACACCTCTAGAGCTCAGAAAGTCACCCACAATCCCTCCAAAGTCCAGCTCAACCACACCCAACACCATAAACCTCCAGTAAAATGTCGAGGCTCATCCCAATCCTGCAAGAGTTCCAAGGTCATGAAGGATGTGTAAAGGCCATTGCAGTTTTCCTGATAAATGATGGATGATCACCAGCTCAAATGATGGGGCACTTCATCTGTGGGACTTGAATACAGGTGTTGTATTGAAGGGCCATCCAGGATAAGTAGTAAGATAAAGGGGCAAACTTTTGGAACACAAAGTCAAAAAGTCGGAGGACTCCATCCAGGAATTGGATGATCTGCAGAGTCCAGACTCCACATGCAAGAACATCCAGGAAATGGCTGACTCCAGGGCTATTCTACATAGACTCCAGGGCCAAAGTCTGGGGTCAGTCTGGGGTTTTGGCAGCTGGCTTTGGGCGGGGTTTAAACATTACTCAATGACAACAACTGTAGTGGTGGCATCATTGATGCAGGTATACCCTTTGCTTTTCATGCTGATGTATCAGCTCACTCCATGTTGATGCACACCCACCTCTGTTTGCTGATGTATCCCCTCAGATTACACCTGACCTTGCTTTCTCATGCCCTCCCGCCATCTCGCACCCTCCCACTATGATGCATGATACATCCCACCCACCCTCATACCTGCCTAACCATTGTTCAAATGATGCAGCATGCAATAGGGGCACATTTTGATTCCAACTATTGCTACATGTGTATTAGATGTATCTACCAATATTATAACAAAGTTTTATGTATCCAAGTCCATGTCTTGCTGAGTGACAAGCAAGTTGTGGTCAAATAGCACCAGAGTATCGGCCCAGCTGCTCTGCTTGGTCCAGCGGCATAATGACAGCTGTACACTGACAGGGAACAGGGCAGGCAGGCAGTTGCACAGGTAGGAAAGGAGGGTGGTGGCCAGGTAAGAACAGGTGGCAGGGAGGTAGACGGGATGCATTCATGGTGGTGGGCAGTGCGATGCATTTGTGGTAGTGGGCAGTGCGATAACGATAGTGATGTTTGAACTGCTTGGAGCTCTGCTCGAATCTAGCTGCCAAAGCCCCAGACTGGCCCCAGATTTGGCCCCAGAGTCTACACCACCAACTGCCTCTTTGGGCCAAACAGACATAGTGTGAAAACCATTTAAGCGACCTTACCACAACCTGAATCTTGGCTATAATAAGGTTTTGGTAGATAAATAGCATATTTGTAGAGTAAAGCTACCAAATAGAGGCTCTGTCAGTGTATTTGACCCAATATCTGGTAAAGATGGGAAATAGGTTGTTTGGGCCTGCATCAAGGTTCGATGTGAGGCCACATGAAGGATATTTTGGGTATATCAGACAGAGACCTGTGGTAAAGATCAGAAGCTGAGACATCTGAGAGAGGTTGTATGTATATATAACTAATGTTGAGTGGCCTATGTTTGTTCCTATGGTCTATACATGTTGACCATCACTGATCTGGACGATTTACCATCAACTCTCAACTATCAATGATCTGAATATTACTGCAGGCCTTCCAGCGGTTCAAGGTGGCAACAATCCAAGCACATAGAATTGGCACATGTCCTACAACCATAGATGCTAATGAAAATGACAAGTTATGTGATATAGGCATTCTAACATACTGAAACATATGAAGCGGAAGCTTGATCATCCTGAAGGCAGTCAGAAGAAATGAGGGGACTGGGATAGAAGAGGGCTGCATGCATGCAGAACTCAGCCCAAACATGATCACATACTTCAGGGGCACTTTGCACTCCAATCCAATTCCCCTCAGCACCACTCAACTGGTCTAACCATGCTTCAATGAATGTACCCTGCAATGGAACTCGAGAATCCCACATGGGCCATCTGCCTCTCAGAAAGCATGGATATCCCCCAATAAATGCTAGCCAAAATGCATCGCATCCCCAAGCCCACAGTGGTGACTCTGAATCCACTTTGGTCACCAGCCATGACTCAATCTCCTTTGACAATGTTGACCAATTTCCTCAATTGTGGTGGTCAAATGTTGACGGAAGTGGGAGAAATGGAATGCTATCATCTGGGGGAGGAGCAGCACCGTGATCAGCTACTTCTTGAAAGAAAAACAGCTGTGCCACAATGTAAGTACTAGTGATTTAGTATGTTTGCAACAGAACGTGCACTCACATCACTTGAGGGAAGCGAATTTGTCTGCCAGCTATCAGGATCCCTCATATCCATTGATACAGTGTTTACAACTGGAGTAGTAAACATCCCATACTCCTCAGCAATAGATACTGATATTTGAACAGGCTGCAACAGATGATTTTAAGTTTGTTTTGAACAGAACAATGCCGACTCACAATGTTTTCTTGTAGAAATTCCCCTGGTAGTATACCCGAAAAGCAGACTGAGAAGTAGTGGTTGCAGAGATAAACATCCAGTCTCTTCATGTTGTACATCTGGATAGATGATGGAAATGTTGGTGAGTATTCCAGGATCCATGGAATGTTGAAATCTGAAGTCTGAGGAAGTGTGTGGGACTTTGGACCTGTCGTTCAAAGTCATATCGCAAGGCACATGACTATGTCACTCAATAACTTCAAGTCAATCACTGACACTGACAGCACTGTGATAATCATCTCCAAGACTTGTGCAAGCTATCATTGAGTCCCATCTGTGAGTCCCATCATTTTGAGTATTGAAGTAGATCTAATGTGCAAATCAAAGACCAGGAGTGGTTCTGCACCATAACATCCTCCTACTAGAGGTGCTCACGGTATCATCGTTGTGTATGGTGCTCGATACTATGTGCCACTACACAAGCCTCAATCAACCCTCCAGCTACTTGCCAAACTTACTTGCCCCACCCACCTCGTCCATTCATGAACCATAAATTTGTTGATGGTGATAGTATGTTTTCATTAGTCTGTTATTCACATGGTTGTTTATATCTCACCGCTCTTTATTTACAGTTATAAAATATTGCGATGATAGAAGCAAAAATGCCGTTTGCATGGTATGCCCTCGCAGAGCAGGTGTCTTGCACACAATGGCCATCCAACACATCAAAAAGCATATCTCCCAGAACATGCATCAATGTTTCTCTCAAAGATCTGTCAAGAGTCAACAGGCCACTGCTTCCATACCGCTTGGTCTTGAGGGGAATTTGCGATGGAAGAAAGCTGGGAACCCCATCTTTACCTCAACAAACACCAACCCCACAGCATCTCACCATGACTCCAAAAACCTGTACATAGATGCAGACATGCCTGATGTGGACATGGAGGTCCCACTATCCAAGCTTTTGAACCACATTGCAGGTGACCAGCAATATGAGTTTGAAGAAGCACATCTGGACCTATTTGCTAAGCTCCAAGCAAGTCTTGCCTGCAGGGAAATTCCTTTCTCAATGCCTCTTGCCCCTGTTAAGGGAGAGTGTGAGCTCCTCAATGATAGCGTGCCTGATTTCAGGATTGAACTTCCTGGTGAGTGTAAAATTTGAGTTGTGCTCCATGACAATGCACTTAATGAAGTGTACAGATGATGGTGTTTACAATATGATGGGCACCAATGTTATCACCTCTCAAGATAGTCCAACATACCCATGGACATCCAAAGCAGTGAGTTTTTTTCATATGAGTTGCAAACTCAATGCTCACAGCTATGTCGAGAACTTCATCACATCACTTCTTTTCAGCTCCCCCCGCCACCCATTTTCTGATGGGCAGAAAAAGGCAGTCCTCAATTGGGCTAGAGACCTTGGCGCTCAAGATGTTCCCTCATTCAGTGCAGTCAAGAAGGTCCAGAAACATGTTGACCATCTTGTTGGTGATCCAACTGAGAAGGTCTCAGCTCACTTGGGGGACACATTTTATATCAACAACATCACAGAATCAATTGCTAGGGTTTGTCTAATATGTTACATAGGTGTGTATGATACTGACATGATATTTCAGGACTATGTGAACCCACTCACTCGATTCACGATGCAAGATTACCCAGAGGATGGAGGCGAAGGAATGTCACAGGTGTTTAATGGCATGAAGATGCTGCTTGATCTCCCATCACCACCCACAGTTCAGGTTGATGGCATGATATATTTTATCAACAAGCTGCTGCAAGAATCATCCAAGGCATACTTTATCCCAGAGTGCTTCTTTCTTGGTTCATGTCCTCCCACTGATGAAGTTGAACCTGGAGCTCAACCAAACATGAAAATTCAGTATGCTCTTGGTCAAGCTGCTCAATGGACTGATGTATGTTATTTGATACTAGATTTATGATTTTGTGCTGATCGCTGACATGCGAATTAGGCTGGATTCATCATCAATGATGAACAAGAGATTATACCCACTTCGGCCTTTGTGCGATCATTCAAAGATATCGCTGCAATGCATGGTGAGCTCGATTGTGGTCTCATAGGTATGTTCTATATCAAGTGCACTAGTGATTGCGGGACTTAACCACATAACAGCTTCTTCAGTTAAGTTTGCATCGCTTATGCCCAATCCATTGTGTGAGAAGTCCAATGGTCGAATGGTCTATGCCGTCCCGCTAATTATTTTTATGGATGATGTGTCAGGCAACATGTCGAAGCAATGGAACAAACATCATGCCATTTACATGTCAAATGCCAACTTGCCGCGCGAGATGCTTGAGAAAGAGTTTTTTGTGTGATTCGTCACATCCTCACCTCATGCTGCACCAATGGAGCTCATGTGAGCCATGAAAGAGTCTATCTGGTACATGCATGTTTTTTGTTGTCTAGCTCATATTCTCAGTCAGTGGTCGTGATTTTCAGTGTTGCAGCTGAATCTGGCATCATTGCATGGGACTGCAAGGACAGTGAGGAGGTCATGCTCATCCCTTACGGATTGTTTGTCGCTGGGGACAATCCCATGCAAGCTGAAGAATGCAGTCATGCTGGGCTGAACTGCAACTATTATTGCAGGATGTGTGATGTTGGCAGCACGAAGGAATATAAGGAGTCTGAGGCTGGATATAGCAGTATCTTCAATGTTTGAAAGTCTGTTTCATGTTTTCTAACTACTGATTCTGTGTTTGCAGTCAGGCAATATCCGAATGCCAGAGGGTACTGCGAACACAGTTCAACAGCAATTCGAGACCACAATGCTATCGGGTGCCTCAGAGAAGGTGAAGAACTCCATGTCATCAACTGGTATTCGTGATACAGCTTCAGCCTCCATCCTTAACACACTGCTGGAACTTGGCAAGAAACTCAGGAAACATACAGTGGGTTCTCCAGCAATACCTGAAAATGAGGTCAGCATCACACTCAAGAAAGAGTTCGAGCAGCTCTTGCAAGGTGGAAAGCTCAATGATGCGATCAATCCCCTGCTAGGCATGCATGGTGAGTGTTTTTGAGGATGATGTAGATGTTACGCTCATGTTCAAATCAGCGTTCAATGTCCATATGGATACACCGACCAAAATCCTCCATACAATACTGCTGGGTGTCGTAAAATACTTCTGGGGGCAAACAGTATTCCTCCTCGAGAAATCAAAGCTCTTGCATCTCTTTCAGACCCGCCTCGAGACCATTAACAAGGATGGGCTAAATGCTCCTTGCCTCAACACCAACTATATCTGCCACTACAAAGGCAGCTTGATTGGAAAGCATTTCAAGAGCTTGGCACAAGTAATGCCATTCCTCATCTACGACCTTGTCCCACCAACAGTCCTCAATGGTTGGACAGTCATGGGTGAACTCGTTGTCCTTGTCTGGCACACAAAAATAGCAAACACCGAGGTTTACCTTGTAAGTTCTTATATCACGTACATTTGAATGCCTGCTCTTTCTAATCATCTTTCAATAGGCAAAGTTAACATGAACGATCCAAGATTTTCTGAATGTGACGGCGCAGTGTGCGCCAAGTATCCTGATTAGCAAACCCAAATTCCATTTTCTCATTCATCTCCTAGCCTATATTTGACGTTTTGGACCAGCAATTATCTTCTCGACGGAGCAATACAAATCTTTTAACCATGTTTTCCGCTTGTCTTGCATATATAGCAATCATCAAGCACCAAGCAGAGACACCTGCAAAGTATTTGCTCACCAGGACATCATCAAGCATGTTGCTACTGGTGGTTACTGGTATGATGGCAAGATCAAGAAATGGGTTCACACAGGAGTCCAGGTCTTAAGTTATCTTGATGAGCACCCTGAACAAGCATGGTTGCTCGGGTTATCAAACTTCAGTCGCAGCACTCCAATACCTGGTGAATAACACCATACATTTCATTATTCAATGACTCATTTGTGTATAGGGTCAGGAAAAGTCAAAACAGTAACCAGAAAGTCTGGAAAGACAGTCTGGAAGGACACAGTTCCTTGGAAGGATACACATTGCGCGAATATTCCCAGAACCATCCTATGCGATCCAAACATTGATTACTACCGGGGCAAATGTATTGTGACCAGCACAGGAGAAAACACATACCTCAACAGTGAAGTTATTGTTCGACCGTCAGCAGATGGAAAGGTGGGTTGTTTGTTTGAACTTTCAAGGCAAATAATTGACAAGATGTTTTCAGATGTACATTGGACGTATTTGGGAAATACTTGTATCATCCAATGACCACCGAACAGTAGAACACATCACTCTCCAGCGCTTTTCCTTCACAGAGACATTGCACCCATCTCTTCATCTTCCATGTCTAGATCTTACTGATGATGAAGTAGTTTTGTCTGCCACCATAAGTTGTCATTGTCTTTCACAAGTCGGTGATGCATCTTATGAGTGTTGTCTTGCAGGATATTGTGTGTTCTGTCAATGTCCAACATAACTGCATCAATTCACATTGCACCAACACCGCTCAGCAACCCTGTCATATCCCACAATCTGGACCCATGTTCCATCATATTCCCACGCCTTCCGAGCCTACATCCGGACCCCACTTCATATCCAGCTCATTCCCAGATCCCCTTCCACTGTGCTCCATACCTCAGCAGGATCGACTATGCTCCTGATTTACCCCTGAGCTCCGGACCTCCGGATCCTCGCTGCTAGCCTGATCCGTACAACCCTATCCTGTCCACCCTATGCGCACTCCATCCAGCAAGACATCCAGACTTCACCTCATCTCAGATTCCAGACTATATCTACCTTCTCATATTCCGGTCCTGTATCCACCTTGTCTTCCAGATCCCCAGATCTCCGGACCTCCAGATATTAACTCCGGACCTATTTCCACCCTCTGTCCAATATCCTGCGCCTATCCCCATTTAGGCATTCTCTGCCTTCCAGCTTTCGGTTACCTCTTGTTCCATCTTGCTTATTGATCCTTGTACAAGTCCTCATCTCCAAGTTCATTTACTTATGTTCCGACTTACTTACTAATGTGTTTCCACATGCTCATACATAGCCTTGCTCCTTTGCTTACTGATCCCCTCAGATATTGTTCAGTATATAACCCCTGTAGATACTCCTGTAGTTCCTCAGTTTGAATATCAACTTAGACTTGCCCAATCCTCTCTTGGACTTTGGTCCACCTAAGTCTGTCCTACTCATCAGGCCTAGGGATTGATTCCCTAGGCCGGAGCTCTGCCTTTCTGGCACTTACCCTCTTTCCAGACTTAGGTCCAATCCCTGTCCCTCTGACTCTACCTTATGGTAGTCTACCCCTGCTTGTTTCTACATCGGACTTCATCTGATGTAGCCCCTATTCCTTCCAGACCTCCAGACCTCCTGTCCCTTGTACCTCTGGGCATCCTGTCCTTTGGATGTTCCACCCTCCATACCTTCAGATGTTCTGTCCTCCTAACCCTCAGACATCCTATCCTCCTGTCCTTCAGACATCCTGCCCTCTGTCCTCCATCATCCTGCCCTCCTGTCCTCCGGACCTTCAGACCTCCTATCCTTCCATCCTGTTTCCTGTAGAAGTATTACCTTGCAGTGGGAACTCTCCTGAGCACTTCCTGTGTTCTTCTGGAACTGTCCTGCGCTCCTCCGGATGTTTCCCGTGCTCCTCTGGAAGTCCTCCAGACTTTGTCGGACCATCATCGGACCTCATATGAAATGAAGGGCACATACTCAGGTAAGGGGCACAGTGTACAAGCTGAGGCCAAGCCCCTCTGAGTCAGTCTCTCTCTCCTTTGAGCATGGTTCTTAACAAACCCATATATCAAGAACAGACCATAACATCTCACTTAAGGCCCATCATTCAACACAAGCCGACCCCACACTACCTCCTTAATGTATACTCTGTTCATAACTATGACTACATCAATCTCATTATGCCCGATACCCTTTGCAAGACACCACTGAGAGTGACCAATGTGGCTGAAGTTCAAGCATTGGCAGTGTGGCAAATGTGGGAGAAGCAAGCAGCCAAAAAATCCGGAAATATACCTCAACAAGGAGAGGGTGAACACATTGAAGATGCCACAGCACCACGTGCAGTCTTTGATTGTGCTCTCACCACCATGAAGACTGGTGCCAAACCGAAAGCAAAGGCCAGCAGTTCCAGCATGCAAGGAAGAAAGAAGACTGTACCGTCACACACCAGTCAAGCTGTTGTGGGGCCCTCTAGACCAGCATCACCTCCACAGCAAAACACAGCAGATACTGCTGCTCCAGATCAATGATATTTTACGCAGCCATCGTATATTCCTCCTCATTTTTCACACAATCCTGTGCCTCAATCATACATTTCCTCACCACCTCAATTGTACCACTTTCCACTGCCTCAGCCATACATGATTCAAGTTCTGCACCCAGGCCAATCACACATGCATCCACAAATGTCACACCTTCCCCTCCAACCACACCTTCCTGCCCCTCAATCACGCTTGGCTCCACCCCAATTACATGCTCATGCATTCCCATCAGCTTCAATTACCTGGCATCCGGGCCATCAAGCCTTTTTGCATCCACCACCCGCGCCTCATTTCCACCATATGCTATTGACTAATACCTTCCCACTGGCAGGACCTAATAGTCGACCTGGGCCTCAACCACCACAGCATCACTACCCCCATCTGTCCTCTATCTCTCCCTTCTCACCCACACCTTATCCTACACAGCACTCCACTCATCCATGACATCTGTCACTCAGGCTATTGTTATTTCCAGAACGCTACTTCAGTAAAAGTGCAGCTGCCAGTGAGACACCTAAGAAATCTTGCTGGGATCAAGCTATTGTCATTCCAGAAACCCACTGCAGCTGCCAGTGAGACACCTAAGAAATCTTGCTGGGATCAAGCTACTGTCATTCCAGAAACCCACTGCAATCTTCAGGGTGTCAACTATGTGTCATTGCATATCACAATTCGCATTGGAGTTAAGCATACAGTCAGACTAATACATATTTGAATAAGACCCATACTTTACATATAGCATACAGTCCTCAATTTACATGCTCCCTTCTAACTTTGTATTTTATTGTATGAGCAATTTTGCACCATCGAGATTTGAGCCTCATGTGAAACACACAAATGTTAAGCGTGTCCTTAATAAGCTTTGATTTTTTATGGCATTCAGGCAGAACACTCACTCAGATCTCAGAGCCAGACTCATCATCTTGCATCCTTCCTTTTCCTGGCTTTCAGGATGTTACTCCAATGCTTTCCCATATGCACTCAAGGCACTCCACAGCCACATTCAACAAGTGGTCTGTTAACACCAGATGCTGCCAGAGGTCCAGGAGGCAGGAGTCATTCAGCTTCCATTCAAAGTGTTCATAGTGGATCTCGACCTCCTGCAAATGGTTTAGGAACAGGGAGTATAGGACATGCGCACTCACCAGCAGGATTCTCCCAGACATCTAGACCACCCAGCAGTAGTACAAGTTCTCAGTCACAATCTGCTGTTGGTGCATCCTGTTCTTGTGACAATTTGCAATCTGCAATGTCTGATGGATCACTTGATGAAAACATTACCACAGGTGTATGCCATCAACGAACTGATTCAAGTCCTGATCATGGTGACCCAACTGTCCTTATGCCTGTATGCACGAAAAGACTGAAAGTTTATGCGATGAAGGTTGCCAAAGACTTAGGTGTTGCCGAGGAGGAACTTCATGAGTTTATTGATGTAAGTTTTCCTTTGGTGCTACACAACTTTCTGACATGGCTGCCCTGCTTGCAGACTGGAGGGATATACTATATGCTTATTGACATCAAGGCCACCTTGTTGAGGCGGAATGAAGACGCCAGGAAGATAGAGCTCGCCCAGTTGAAAGAGCTGCTAGATTCTAAGGACTTCAAGGTATGCTGTGGCTGTCCAAATGTACAGCAGTATTAGTTGATCAAATGAAATGCAGTCTGGAATCCAGAGTCATCTCACTGCATGCATGCTGTCACCCAACATCACTGCATATGTCACCAATGCACACACTCACATTATGGTATTCTTCAAGTCAATCACTGTATTAGTCAGATGTTGAAACTGCAACAGGACTTCGTCAGGAAGCATCACGATGTGTTCAAAATCCCTGTGGCAATACTTGAAGATGTGGAACTTAAAGCACAACTGTCAAAAATGGTCAGTGACCTGCTTTCATCCATCCATGGCAACATAAAGGCCAAGGTTCGTCAAGTTTTGCCACTGCTATGTAAACTAATCATGAGATATACATGCTCAGCTGACAATGTCAATCATCAAACAATTGAGTATCATGGAGACCGCAAAGTCTCTCACTCATCACTGCAGCATTGAGGTTGATTCTATGCACTGGAATAGGTTCGCATTTTTGGTACATCCTTGCTCTATTTGACAACAGACAGTTCATGACATGCGATCTAGCAGCGCTGCTTGCACATTTTCCTTATCCGCATGGATGACTACAAGACTGTACCCCTCAAAGTTCTTTTTTCCAACTCACTCATTCCATCACTTCACGATGACCTTCACATCAAAATCAATGAGAAACTCAGCATTGACATGGACACTATCAAATGCAGGATACATGGCAATGTTGATCAAGACCTTGAACCCAATACTCCTGCTGATTCTGAAAGTTTCTTAGATGAAGACCATCTGATGCAAGACATGGAGAATACTGACAATGGCAGCCAGCAAGAGAATGAGGGCGAGAATATTGGGGGCAAAGGAGCAGAGGATGAGGACCAAGGCAAAGGAGATCTGCCAGTTGATGAGGAAAATTCAGGATCTGAAAGCAAAGGACACCCTGCTGTTTACTCTTTGTCTAAGTTCTGGAAGTTTGTAGATGACTCCCTTGATGGCATTCGTGAGCTAGCAAGGGCCTGGGTCAGTGAGCAAGAGGGGATGGGTGGTTCTCTGACATATGAACATGCTTTTCACGAGTATGTTTCCCATTAATTTGCCCTCCTCATTGTTGCTGATTGTTACAAAGTATCCTTGTGGAATACTTTCAATTGGACCTCACTGAATTTCCTGGAAGGAGAACCATTCCAAAGCTCCTCACTACCACTAGCCCCCAGTGGCAGACTACCATCCAGAACCAGCTCTTATGGTGAAGTTGAATTTTTCAACCACTCATTTTCATTTCCACTCGTTCTCGCTTTCCGGCAGTGCATTGATGCATATCACTCATTTAATAGCATCACTCATTTAGTATGGCTTAATTTCGTGTTTTTGCTATTCGATTATACAGTAACAACATGACTGGTATGTGATAATGATATGACACATACATACTGAGCAGGTGCTCTAAACATACGAAGCGTGATATCTGGGCGAGGTGTCAATTGAACCTACACCGAACATATTGAACCTGATATCTATACGAGCCATAGCATGAGATGTTTCTGAGATGTATGTTCGAAATATTATAGGAACATGACAACCTGATGTGAATAACAGCCCTGGTCGTCAATGTACCCTCGGTCTCTCTATAATATGCTCAGGTTACCGTTTGCAGGTCTCCTTAATCTTGCGCCCACTTGGTGACTCAGACAATTACTAAATTGCTCCGAAATATATAGTGTGAAAACCATATAATCAATACCGTGGTAAGGCTTATCACACCCTAACACTTTTTTGGGTCTACCGGAGGTTTTGGGCGGTTGGTGGTGTATGCAGAATAGCCCTGGAGTCGGCCAAATCCCTGACTTTCACCCGCGTGCAGTCTGTCTTTCGGGAGTTTCCGGCCAGTGCACCCAGGCGCCCAAGGTTTGTCTGCTTGATGTCTTACACCATCCACTGATTTAATCATTGCTCAGCGAGCAATGGCATTGGCAGCCAGCTCATGTAAGGGCTAAGGCGCACACCTGTTCCTAACACCTAGTATTCTGAATCCACTAACAACTGAGTCGTGCCCACCATGTGACCAGCCAACGGACACTGGCACCCTCTTTGACGCTTTACGAATACACCACGAGCTTGCGCAAATGTCGTTTCTCACTTCATCTGTCATACACACTTACTCAAGGACAATATCTGCCTGCCGCAGCCTCACACAGTGTTTGTGAACATCGCTCCTGCTACCACCAGCAATCAAAATGTCATTTCTCGCTCACCATATCATCCAAAGTAGTGCATTACCTATGGGCCATCGTGAAGCATCTTGCTTGGACATTGCTTGTGTGTAAATGTTTTTTTATTACAAGACGAGGCATAAAAGTTGTGTCTTGTACTGCCAGGAGCACTGTGACATGTGAGCTTATCCGGAGCTCTTGGATGACGTCAGAGGATTTTACTTTAACTCATACATTGCAGAACAAACCAATGTATGGTTCGGAAGCTTTCACAACATCTGTCAAGAATCCGAGATGAGGCGCTGGACTTTGGTGATGCCATCCATCGTCTTCCTTCTGAGAGGGTACCGTTCGCATTCTTTCGCTAGGTCTGGATAGATTTACAGTTAACAGCAGACGGGAATAAATCGGGACAAACACGCCCCCAGTGGGAACATCCCAAAATATAATCAGCGCTGAGCGCTTGAAGTTGAACCCTGTGAAACTTCGAAACACCATCCATCGGTCAGCCTTGGACTATAAGGACCTAGAGGTTCAAATGAATACTTATAATTATTGTTCATCTATGGTAGTGGCGCAGTAGCAGGCATTTTGAAAACTTACAAACTTGAAAACTTTGTCGAGCAATGACTTGGAGCCTCGGAGCACACTGCAATCCTCGGCCAAGGCGTCAACCAGTACAAAAATACCTATGTGGTACCCTCGTGGATGACCGATAAAACATCAATGAAGCTCCAGGGTCCCTGTATTACCACTAGTACTTCTCGGGCGATGGGTTCGGACTCAGGCTCCATGTGCGACCTTCTTAAGCGCTCTCACCTCACATGTCTGGTACGTTATCATAAAGATCCGCCTGTATATACTAACTGGTGCTTGCGCAGATCCTGTTTGTTGTTCTTTGATTACACATGCCCTTCAAGTCTAACCCTTAAACCCTCAAAGTTCAAACTATCCAGGCCTTTCTATTACCACCCAATCTCGAACGTATTTTTCTCCATACCACCACCGTTGCCGCTGAAGAACACCCAGAAGATGTCTGATTGACGAGCGGCCTTGCTTAACAAACGGTTCTATGATGTTCTCAAGGGCAAGATCCCTATCGAGCCATGAAACTGTCACTTGTTTCTTGATTCCATATGTTCCCAACCAGATGTTGCGGTGTGTGTAAGTAAGATAGTGGGAGAATCAAAAGGACCCTCTATTGTGCAAGAGGCGATGCGACTGGACTTGTCGGCGGAGTTCATGAATGGTATTGGTGCTGACGTTCTTGTATATCTCCTCCAGGCCACAAGCATCAGCAGCAATGTGCTGGATCACCTGTTTGTCCAGATAGTCGAACCAGATTTCTTCTGGTCGGCGTTTAGTCATGCTTTTGCTCGTGGAGAGCTACTCGAAAAAGCTCAACGTGCCTTTGCTAGCCTCCTCCTCCGGCTGTTGAACCTCTCCAACCATGACACAGCACCCTATCTCGAACTAGCTGGCAGGCCAAATGTGCTCCCACAACTCACAGGTTCTGCAAACTTGGAAGTCCGGCTTATTGGAGAGAAGATTAAGCACATCCTTTCGATGTATGGCTCCTCAGCCCCTCCCTCGGCTGCCAATGGCCCAGGTGGATGACATGACAATGATTTTGTCAATTTCCGCGAAATCACTATCCTTCCCACAGCCGACGAAATTAGATCCGAACAGCTACCATTCTTGTGCCGTAGCTCGGAGTTAGAAGATGAATCTGGAGAAAGCACTCATACCGCAGATTATCTCGACAACACATTTCGCCTGCTTTGCAAAGACATGATAGCAGAGATGAGAGAAGAACTTCAAGCGTTAGAAGGAAAGAACGTCAAGCACCACCGTGCTAACCTTATAGATGGTATTATACTCAAAGGCGTTTACCATGGTGCTGATGATCGGAAGATGCTGTGGGGAATAACATTGGAGTGTGTTGACGACCTGCCATCTCTGAAGCACATCCCCCTGAAGGACAGGAAAGCATACCTCACAGATGATCACAGTGGCTCCAAGGTCCTTCGTCACCAATCACTTGTCTGTGTGGTGGCTGATAACGAAGTTGTCGGCTTTGGCACTGTGAACCGAGTGGAGGATCTCTTGATCCGCAGCCCTCCTATCATCGTTATTCAACTAGACGGGCGGGCGAGTACAAGTAGAACCATCCTCCGGCTCCGCAATGCCAAAGACACGAAGCTCCTCCAGATTGACACTGCTCTCTTTGCTTTTGAGCCGGTGCTCAAGGCATTGCAGAAGACGCAGCACATCCCAGTATCGGATGAACTGCTGTTCTGGAAGCGTGGTGTTACTCTGCAGAATCCCCCGCAGATGGCTGATGGCGTTATCACAGCTATTGAAGCCAACCGTTCTGGGAACTTGCAACACTTGCTTCAGACCCCCAACCCTATACAATTAGATCGCTCCCAAGCTTTGTCGATTCTTTCTGGCCTGACTCAGAGGGTGTCTTTGATACAGGGTCCTCCAGGTATATTTTTTGACACTATAGATGTCTGGTGATGCTTATGAAACGGATCAGGGACCGGAAAGTCATTTGTGGGCGCCCTCTTAGCAAAAGCTCTACACGACTTCACCAATCAGACAATTCTTGTTGTTTGTTATACCAACCATGCCCTGGACCAGTTTTTAGATGATCTTCTCAAAATCAGCATTCCTGATGACCATATGGTTCGACTCGGAGGTAGAGCTAAACCGCAGCTTGCGCATCTCAACCTCTTCAGTCCTGGCCAGAGAATGTCCCAGCCCCCGCGGACTAAGGCGGATTGGACCATGATCGACGAATTCAAGGCCAGACTTAAATATCTATGCAGTCGCCTTGACAACTCTGTTGCAGAGTTCATGGCAAATAGGATTCGTTATGAGGATATCTTGATGCATATCGAGTTCGAGGATGAGTCTTATTTTGAAGCTTTTCGCGTTCCCAAGTCAGATGACGGCATGGCCACTGTAGGCCGCAGAGGTCGGGAGGTTGACCCAACGTATCTCATCGTGCTATGGGAAAGAGGCCGTGATGCAGGTATCTTCAAATATGCGGCTCATCTGCATATGGAAGAATCGAGTCGCATTTGGACTACTCCCTTGTCTGCCCGTAAGAAGTTGTTGACGAAATGGACAAATGACCTCCAGAAGCAGATGGTAGATGATATTGGCGCCGTTGGCCGAGACTACAATAATTGTCAAATAGATCTCACCCGGAAGTTTGGCGAGTCGTTGATCGCAACGCTCAAGGCGAAAAGGATCATTGCATGTACAACGACAGGTGCCGCGAAATTCACTGAGGATCTCCGGACTGCTGCTCCTGATGTTGTCCTTGTGGAGGAGGCTGGAGAGATTTTGGAGAGCCATATACTAACTGCTCTTGGCGAAAACACAAATCAACTGATCCTTATTGGAGACCACAAGTATGTTTGCAATCACTACCTTCAGTGCCTTATTCTGAGTTATAAATTTAGGCAATTGAGACCAAAAGTCAATAGCTATGCCCTCCAGGTCAAGAGTGACCAAGGATATGACTTAAACAGGTCGCTTTTCGAGCGCCTTGTTCTAAAAGGATTCCCTCACGCTACTCTCACCGAGCAACATCGTATGCGGCCTGAAATCTCCGCACTTGTTCATGAGCTCACATACCCCGAACTCACTGATGCCGCTAGCACCCGTGGCAGAGCCGATATTCGTGGGATCCAAGATAATATCATTTTCGTCAACCATGCTCACCCTGAGGACAACGAGGGCAGAATTAGTGATCGCAGCGATCTTGGTTCTACAACTTCAAAACAAAACTCTTATGAAGCTGGCATGGTTCTGAAGATTGTCCGGTACCTTGCTCAACAAGGTTACGGGACAGATAATATCGTCATCCTGATGCCTTATCTTGGGCAGCTCTCCAAACTTCGGGAATATCTCAAGGCAGACAATGACCCGGTGTTGAACGACCTCGACTCTTATGACTTGGTTCGTGCGGGACTACTCTCTCCTGACGCTGCAAAGGCATCCAAAAGGAAGATAAGACTTGCTACCATAGGTATGAACTCTATCGCAACGAATGCCTGAAGTTTGACTGACTGGAGTAGACAATTACCAGGGTGAGGAAAGTGATATTGTGGTTGCTAGCTTGACACGATCGAATCCTGATGGTGCTATCGGCTTCATGAAGTCCCCTGAATGTTTGAACGTCCTCTTGTCTCGGGCCTGTGATGGTCTTATTCTCATTGGCAATATGGCCACGTTCAAGAGCAAATCCACCATGTGGAGTGGTCTCTTCAATCATCTCAGACAGGCAGCACACATCTATGAAGGGTTCCCCATTAAATGCGAGCGCCATCCTACGCGGAAGGCCATTCTGCGAGATGCTAATGATTTCGATGATCGATGTCCAGATGGAGGTTGTTCAGAGCCTTGGTGAGTGTCCTTTAACAATGTTCGGTGTATCTCGCTGATCTTGCTCCTTTAGTGGTGCAATGCTCGGTTGCAACGTGCACCCTTGTCCTTCAAAGTGCCACCAACTTTCTGATCACTCCAAAGTACTTTGCCAACAGGTGTTATTTGGCAAGTGTGGGGCAGGCGTCCACAAAATTTCATGGAAGTGTCATCAAGGGCCTCGCACAAAATGCACTCCATGCGAGAAGGATGCAGAGCGCACTGAAAAGCAATTACTACGCGACGCAGAAGTCCAGCAAAAACGTGATGCTGAGCAAGCCAGCTTCAACACTAAAATGGCTGAAATGGATGCGAGACTTAAAGCTGAGGTCGAAGTTATTGCAGATGCCAATACCGTGAAGCAGAGAGAGGCTATGCTTAAGCAGAAGGAACGAGAGATTGAAGAGGCAAAAATTCGTGCGCAGAAAATAGCAGGTTCCTCAAAGGATGGTAGTGCAAACCCATCCGAACCAACAACTTCTCCCTCACAGCAATCCTCCGGTTCTTCGTCTACTCCTTCGCAACCTTCCGGTAGCCAAAAAAACTCTGCCGCTCGCGACGACTGGGAGTCACAGAAGAAGCTCTTAGGCGAGCAAAACGACGCGATTGATAGTATTATGGTGATGACTGGACTGGAAGGAGTGAAGTCGCAAGTTCTACAAACCAAAGAGAAGCTAGACTTGATGAAACGCCAGGGAATACCGGCAAACAAAGAGTGTCTGAATCTTGCACTCTTGGGAAACCCAGGGACAGGTAGGAGCCGTTCTTTGGGTAATATTTTCGCCCTAATTTAAACTGTTCTGCAGGAAAGACAACGGTCGCAAGGCTATATGCCCAGTTTCTTGAATCGATACAAGTACTTCCAGGAAACGCTTTTAAGGAAACTACGGGAGCAAGTCTGGCACATGATGGCGTCGGTGGCGCAAAGAAGCTTATCGAGGACGTTATGAAAGTTGGCGGCGGTGCCATATTCATCGACGAGGCCTATCAGCTGGTTAGTGCACAGGGTGGGTCAGGTACCAATGTTCTTGACTTCCTGCTAGCGGAGATGGAGAACCGCGTTGGAAGCCTAGTTTTCATCCTTGCTGGGTACAGCCGTCAAATGGAGAAATTCTTCAATCATAATCAAGGTCTTCCAAGTCGTGTCCCGCATAGATTCACCTTCGAGGACTACACCGACGAAGAGCTCCTTGATATGTTCGCTGATCTGGTGGAGAAACAGTTTAGAGGCCAGATGAAGGTTGAAGAGGGCATCCGGGGTCTTTATAGTCGAATCACAGTCTGACGCCTTGGTCGTGGTCACGGCCATGAAGGGTTTGGAAATGCCTGTGCACTGCAAAATATGTTTGCACAGATACGTCAGCGACAGGCCGCAAGGGTAGGCAAAGAGTGCAAGAACGGATCATCGCCAGACAATTTCTTGCTCGTTAAGGAAGATCTTATTGGCCCTAATCCAGATTCCATTCTTCCGCAGTGCCCTTCATGGATAAAGTTGCAAAAGCTCACTGGTCTTGGATCCGTAAAGCAATCTGTCAGCAACCTCTTCAACCTCATTCGGGCGAACTATCATTGCAAGTTGGCAGAAAAGCAGCCTCTCGATATGGCCCTTAACCGGGTTTTCCTGGGCTCCCCGGGCACTGGCAAGACCACTGTCGCCAAACTCTATGGTCAAGCACTGGCGGACCTAGGGCTTCTCAGTAATGGGGAAGGTTCGGTGTTCTGCTGAAGAATGTTTGAGGATCATTACCTGATTGTCGTCTTTAGTTGTGGTGAAGAACCCTTCAGATTTTGTCGGGCAACATCTCAGGCAATCCGAACAGAACACTAAGGCGATCTTGGAGAGTACTGTCGGGAAGGTCTTGGTCATTGACGAGGTGGGTATATATGTCCGCCCTCACCTTGCGGTCCTTATTGTCTCGCTAGGCATACATGCTGCATAGTAAGAATGGTGGTACCCAGGATCCCTATAAGACCGGCGTCATTGACACCATGGTTGCGGAGATACAGAACGTACCAGGGGATGATCGTTGTGTCTTGTTATTGGGATACAAGGAGCAAATGGAAGACATGTTTAAGGCAGGTGCACGACTTCATGATCAGAACCTGGCTCTGATACGTGAATTAGGATGTTAATCCTGGGTTTGCTCGGCGCTTTGCGATTGAGGACATGTTCATGTTTGAAGACTTCACTGAGCCTCAACTACAGGAAATCTTTGAACGCAAGCTAAATGATCAAGACCTCAGTGCAACAGAGAAAGCTAAGCAAGTAGCGCTTGGTCTTTTGAGCCGAAGAAAGAACCGCCCGAACTTTGGGAATGGAGGGGAAGTAGAAAACATGCTGACTTTTGCAAAAGATCGATATCTAAAGCGGCAGGCATCACAACCTTCCCATCTGTCTCAGGACATCATCTTCGAGCCGGAAGACTTCAATCCTAATTGGGACCGTGATCAACATGCTGCAGCAAACTTGGCTCAGTTGTTCGAAGATATGGTTGGATGTGAAGCTGTTATTCAGAAGCTGGGAGATTACCAGAGCATGGCGCAAGGGATGAAAGCATCAGGACTGGAAATGCGCAAGCAAATCCCTACCAGTTTCATCTTCAAGGGACCACCTGGTAATCAAACTATGTCTGAAGTTGTTCATGCGTTGATACCTTCTCTTCAGGAACCGGAAAGACGACCATCGCAAGGAAATTTGGTCAAGTCTATTATGACATGGGCTTCCTCACATCCATAGAACTGGTTGAGTGTTCTGCATCGGATCTCGTTGGCGAGTACGTTGGCCAAACAGGTCCAAAGACGAAGAAACTTTTTGAGAAGGCCATCGGCAAAGTTCTCTTTGTGGACGAGGCATATCGACTCAGCCAAGGTCATTTTGCGCAGGAAGCCATTGACGAAGTCGTAGGACTGATGACCAACGAGAAGTTCATGGGTAAGATGGTCATCATCCTGGCAGGATATGAGAAGGAGATGAACCAGCTTTTGGGTGCAAACCCTGGGCTTTCCAGTCGGTTTTCCGAGGAGTTCATTCTGCCTAATATGTCATCAACCCGATGCCTCGAGCTGCTTGACAAGGAACTGCGCGGGTTAAAGGTTGTCGTCCAAGGGCTGTCTGATCCATCGTCATCACTATACGAGGAGATGCTAAGCATCATCGCTGATATGGCGAGCCTCGAGAACTGGGGCAATGCACGTGACATAAAATCTATTGCGAAACGGTTAGCTCGCCCTGCGTTCATCTCGGCTGGGAAAACTCCAGGGAGTTCACTGGTCGTTACATCAGAAGACGCATTGAATATCATGAGAAGTCAACTCTCTGAGCAACGAGAACGTGTCAACTTGCCAAGCAAGACAGTGTCATCATCCCCCAGTGTCCCACAGATGGCTATGTCAAGAAACATCGCTCCTCCTCCTTCAACCTCTCAGAGTGTGTCTACCTCAGCTCCTCCAAAGCCCCCTGCTCCCAAGTCATCTCGTAAACGAACACAGCAGCAACCTAAACCTCCCTTCGGTGGGACACCTCCGCCAGACACCACAGTTTCATCTCAGGTTAGTGTCGTACACTGCATAAGAAAGGGAAGAGGTTACTCAAACAAAGTTTATTGCTTGCCCAGACAAACGACCAGGCGCAACGGGACCCCAGTGTAGATGATGCCACTTGGACAAGGCTGCAGGCGGATAAAGCAGCTGCGGAAGCAGCCGAAAAGGATGCCGCTGAGGAGTTGCGAAAGCATGATATTGCGAAGCAGAATGCTTTGAACGAGCTGCGAGCTGCGGAAGCTGCTGCACGGAAACTCGCACAGAAAATTGCGAATGATAACGCCGCCAACGAGCAGCTCATGCGCCAACGAGAGGCCGCTCGCATCCAAGAGCTAGAGGCTAAAGCCACTCGAGATAGAGCCTTGGCTGCGCTGAAGAAGAAGCAGCAAGAGGAGGAGAGGAGGAGGCACGAGGAGGTTCGAGTACAGCAAAAGTTGCGGCAAATGGGTGTGTGTGTTGCAGGCTTTAACTGGATCAAGCAGTCGCAAGGTTATCGATGTGCTGGTGGTAGCCATTTCATTTCGAATGACCAGCTGGGTATCTAGGTTGGCACGTGATTCTTTCACCATTTTTCGTCCTGGTACGATGTTTTAATCAGCCTATCGCACGTGCACAACATGCACGATCTGATATCTGAAGCTAGTATTGTATGTCCAGAAGATGAACCTACTTAGATATGTTTTTTATTTGTTATCGCCTCAATTTCTGCTGTTGTGACATTTTGCTTTCAAGTCACATGATCTTATGTTTTGTTCAGTGCTCAAGCTCAAGTTGCAACTGGCATATAATCCTTCGTGCGTATATAGAGCATGATTTATTAGTACGGGACTTGTGCGAAATGAGGGGACTGCCTGGGCATTTGATGCCAGCGCTCATATTTACGATGGTCTGAAAAAATGAACAGCCAGAAAGTAGTAAGGCACGGGGGCCGCCCACAGCGAGAAACCCTGTCTGCCGTATCAAGAGCTCCCTGCTCTATGTCAGATTCAGGTTCCGTGACACTATCATCTGGAGCAGAAAGTAACGTTTCCAAGTACTTGAGACATGCATGAGCATTTTGGCTGATGAAGTCACAACAGATATAAGACAGCACCCACACGAGGTGAAGTAACTGACAGGTGAGGTAAACCTTTTTCATGGCAATTGCAAGCAACTCACCAGGGGACCACTTAGGGCACGCCATCGTCCAAGTTCCCAGCGAAAGCAACCTGGTGAAAGCACTTGTCTCATCCTCTCCTCCCAAAAGAATGCTGACAACCGGTAAATGCAGTAGAGAGCTCGAATATATGGTGGATCTTTGGTGATGGTTCGATTTGTCATCATGCCACATACAATTTTCATAGTCCGCTGTTCATATTGTTGTATATCCAGAGTATTAATTGCAATCTGTCACAGTCGAGTGACACACAAACATACCACAACTGTAGTCCCGATCGACTGATTGCACTTCCTTAACTTGGCTGCCAGTGGATTTTCATTGATGCATCCGTGGTATGTGGTTCATGGAACATACTATGGAGTTGAGGTGAGTGCATTGCCTGCCAAAGGGACACTGGTCTTGGCCGAGGACTCATCCAAACCCTTGGACAGAGTCTTGTGTGCTTTCAAATGGTGGATAAAACTCTTCTCTTATCATATTCAAGTTGCTTTCATGCTTCAGACAGATGCCAAATACACTTGGACACAATGGTCAAGTTCCTGCTCGTGAGTAGCATGTACATATGTGCTAGTACTTCATGTGAAACTGATATCTCTCATTCAACAGCTCCTGATGCCCTCATCAGACCGATAATTGAGGACTTTGTTGCAAAAGGGTACAATAACCCCAAGATTGTAACTTGGCTTCATAGGTATTATGATACTGATGCATATAATGTTTCATGAGTTGTTTATTTTCTTCCAGTTGAAAGCACACCTTACATATCTTCCCTGTTTATAGGATTGACCTCCTGAAAAAGCGGCACTCTCAGTGGGGACTGAAATCTGCACGTGGACAAGCCCACACCATTACAAGCATAGGTCCAGCTATTGAGCATGTACGAGCACACTTCCCAAAGCAAGGTTCACATGACATGAGACAGACTCTCATACATGAAGAGAAGATCATTGTTTCGAGGTGTGCTGTCTTTTTGGTCATATTTCTGCATTATGATGTGGAAGTTTTGCCAACAGAAAGTTAATTCTTTGCTACATGAATCTTTATCATCCGGAAGATATTCAAGCTCGCAAGAGTTGGCACCTGAAGAGAAGTATATACTGGATGGTGGGTGTCAATGATATTTGGGTATTTGATCAGCATGACAAGTGGCGACACTTTCAGCTATACCTTCATGTTGCGATTGAGCCGTTTTCAGGATGTGTGCTCTGGCTCAAGATTTGGTGGACCAATCATAACCCCCACCTTATTTGCGGGTGGTATTGTGATACTGTAGAAACTCTTGGTGGTGAGCACGGCCCTCTCACTGTGTATATGACTTGTAAACTGTGACCTGGTTTCTCTAGCTATGCCCCTCGTAACGCAGAGCGACCCTGGAAGCAAAAACAATGGCATTGCCAATGGTCACACCTTACTTCGTCACATGCAAGATCCAACACTGGCCCGTACATTGCAGCACAAATTCAAGGGTCAACATCGCAACATCAAGCCCGAGATATTTTGGAGTCAGCTCCGACAACGCTGGACCTCAGGATTTGAAGATATTCTTGATTATGGTATTAATAATGGAATCTATAATCCCGATGATGCCTTGGAAAGGTAGCAGTACCCCATTGACTACTTCTCTTCTTGCTGAGTGCTGAACACATCTGAAAGGCTTGTTTTTCATTACATCTTCATTCCGTGGCTACAGCACGAACTTGACCTCTTTGCTGAAAAGTTTAATAATGTCAAACCTCATCACAATATTCACAAGATCCTCCCACATGGCCGTCCAAACGACATCTTCTATCATGCCGAAGATTTTGAGTCTTGTGACTTCTCGGTGAGTATTGGCTATTGTGGATCTCGTCAATTTGTAATACTCAAAGACATCATCCTTCTACTAGGTGAAAGTTGACCGCACTATGCTTGATGCTGTACGACAGACATATGCTGTCCCTGACCATCCTGTCTTTTGTTTGGTACCACACGACTTTTCTCAGCAGGCTTCTGCTTTCATGGCGGAGCTGGGCACACGTCTGGTGACTCGGGACAATGTCTGGAACATCTATGCTGATCTACTGATGTGTTTCCGTTTGATCGAGGAGGAGGAACAGATTTGCAAGCTTCTCGCTGCGCAACCTCCACTTCCTTGTGACGGAGATAAGATGCTTGGGAGCGAGGACTTGCCTATTGTAGATTTGCCACCATTTGTTGAAGGCAGCGGCCCTGGTGGCGAGAATAACTCAGATGCTGAGGAGGAGCAGTCAGATGATGCGTCGTCTGATTTCTATGAGTTTGACTGGACGGACGATGAACCTTGATATAAATTTGTATGTTACTATGACTATATGTGTATAAATTATCATAGCCAGTGGTTGCAAATACTATTTGTGTCATGAAGGACTTTTCACCATGACTTTGAACACCGTGATTGATGATTGACTCCGGATCCAATGATTTGACGTGCACTTCAATGGAACATTGCAATGCTTCAATTCATTGGCTGATCTGCAAGTGCCAACTGGCAGTATATAGAGCCAGAAAAATGATGTTCCATCATCCCCGAGTCCAAGGCTCTGCTGCTCCAAAGTCTTTTCCACTGCTCCAAAGTCTTTTCTGCTGCTCCGAAGTCTTAACATGGACTTCACCCCAGTCAATGAATATGGTCCAAGGTTGTGTCAACGTTGTAATGTCCAATTTGACGTGTCAGTGACTTTTGAATATATTCACAGCAAGGATGGTTCAGGTCGAGCATGCTGTCCTCCCTGTGCAAAACATTATATTGATCGCAAAGCTGCGGAGCTGGCGCAAAACAATGCTGTGCATGGTATGGGTAATAACCAGCACTCAGGCATAGGTAAGAATTTCAACTTCGCTTCCTAGTATTGGCAGCCCTTATCAGCTTCACCATTTATCTCAGATTTTACAAGCATGGGAGCATCAAGGGAGGCCCTCGTTAAAGCTACATCAGCGGCACAACGGGGCGGTGAGTAGCATTGATGGTCTCTGTTTGTTAAATCCGCACTGACATGATTGCAGAACGATTGTTCCCAAGCCAGCACTTCAGTTCTGGGTCACCACAGATGCCCGGCAATCCAGGACAAATGCTTCCACCTCCTGCTCTGGTTTCGTCCTGTAAGTGTACTTATGACTCCAAATTGATTGTTGCATTTCTGATGCGTACCAAGATAACTCACTATGTCATTCAAATGGCTATACAGCCAACCATCAATTCCACCACCAACACTGTAGCAAGATGCTTCGTGCAGCATCATCCAGTCGTGTTTAAATTGTCACAATCCGAGCTGCCCTTCATCACTTAAAGCCAGAAGGCAAGTCAAGCACTTTGCTCGTTGGGGTAGGTCTTAGCTTGTAATATGACGCACTTGTTGCTTTTACTGATTCAACGTGAAGAACATTGAACGAGACATGCGTGTATCGTTGTCTACCACACAAACAGAACTTCGCTTGGATATAATCCGGCATCTCCAGTCACCATGGACAGAATGGTCACGCAAACATTCTCTCACCCTTGAGAGTCTCGAGATGCATAAATCACCCATGATGCTTCTCTTTGACCCGAGGCAGCCATTGTATGATCCTGACGCAGTGGTACTTCATGATTTCTTCCTTCGCTCTACAACCAAAGATTTGGTCCCAAAATTCTATGCCAGCACAAAGGTTGCTATTCTTCTCATTATGACACACGCACAGTATGAAAGTGTCCAACTCTGGAGGGAGCAAATTGATGAGTTGGTGGGTCTTCGTCATTAATACTTACGTCTTGCTAAATGCAGTGATTTTAGCGCCATGATGATGCCACTGAGATGAAGGACATACAGACAAATTTGCACACATCACCACCTGTCTATGCAACTGATGAGGCAAGCAACACTACGCACTCTGAGTTACCAGTCCGTCCATTCCTACTATGATGTTGCATCAAATTAACTAACAAGGATTGAAGAGTCGACACCCGAAGAAGCCACGCAGCCCCAGTCACACTACCAGTAGCCCGACTAGCAGCCAAGCCCACAAACGTGTTAAGGAGGTATGTTCACTGTACTCCTGCATTGAACATGTATTTATATTGTTAATTTGAAAAGAATGATCATAGTACTACTTACCAAACGCAGGGCATTGAGACTAACGACTCGGAGCAGGATCCAGAACAGTCTACCACCTCTCAATCTCTGTTGTCGATGTCGATGTCGATGTCGGCAGTAGAGACGCATCTCCCCAGTCGCATCAGTAGCCTGTTACCTGCAACTCCACGGCTTTTCCTACCCAGTCAACAACAACTCGAGGCTGCCACGAAAGCTCAGGGAAGCATCCGAAAACAAGCTTCAGCCGTTTGTACGGTTTTGCAGCATTTCAACGTGGTATTTCACTAATACATGATTTATTCATATTCAGGCAAGTACAACTCGAACACGTTCCGAGTGTACCAAATTCGCTCCGTCAAGTTTCAAGACATCATCACAACTCCACTCAACGTCACGTCCTCCCCTTTCGACCTTGTCTCAATCTCCATAGACTCCGATGCAAAGTCAATGATAGGTACTGCCGGAAGCTTCAAAACATGCCATCCGGCTCTTTTGCATACTACTTCATTGAGCGCTACACCTGGGCCATCAACTTCGCAATCTTCCATTTTCACAGCAACGCACGTCGTAGCCAAGCGTGTCTTTTTCCGAAAACGTGACGGGAACTCCAAGCGTCAAAGGTTTTCCAAAGAAGATGAACTTGGGAGGACGCTCGATGAGGCCAACTGCCTATACTGGGCTACCTGTTTGATGTCTCTCGTCTACATTTTTGTTGACGAAATGCTTCAGACGCAGACTGTAAAGCAGACTGTTGCAAACGAGATCCCTCGCCTCCGACTCGTCTATGCTGCAGTTGCTATCCCCGAAGACGTTTCGGACCGCGCTGGAGCAGCATACCTATTAGAAGAAAGAATTGAGGGCAAGTTTATCAAGTATATTAACAACAATTCTGCTGCTCCTGCTCATCATCTACGGGGCAAAGAGGAAAAAATAGGGTTGTTTCTATGCTTTGCCCAGCACGTGCAATATCAGCTCACAAATGAAGTCGTGTATCTGTCTGATTTCCAAGGTAGTAATCTCTCGCGCACTCACATTCATCACACTCTAACCAACTATTCAGGTTCTGGGGACCTCCTCACTGACTGTCAAGTTATGACAGGACCGTTCGTTGTATTCCCTTTGTCTTTGAGTAATGCTAAGTTGGTTACAGTGACTACATGACTAACTTCGGTGAAGGAAATTACACCGAGGCATTTCGCACATTCAAAACAACTCATAAATGCAACGTCTTTTGTCGAGCATTTGGTTTGCAGCCCTTCATCATAGCTGAGCAAGGTTCGTACAATTTCCTAGCATCTATTCACGAAGTTGCTGATATTTCACTGCAGACTAGGCTCCAGGCTCTGTATATACCACTATTTTGAATGTGTATCCTTAAAGTAAACGAGGGCGTCGAGATTCTTCCCCGCTTTGTCCGACATGAAAATTTGAGATACGCGTTTGAGATCGGATACGCGTTTGAGATCGTCGGAGCCGAGGGTGGGATCATCAAAATATATAGGAATCATCTTGTCGACGAGCGGCTGCAGATGGCAGCATTGTACCGCACTTGTGCGAACCCAGTGTCGCAGAGTCCACTCTTCGGCACTGTGACAGCGGTATCTTGTAAATAATATCGCTCGACAACATTTAGAGGCTTACCTCGACATCTCGAACGTAGGTTGCTTGACACCCAATGCGAGAAATTGATGTAGGCATGCTGAAAAGCTGACTTGGCCTCCTCACTCGCCAACAACCAGAACGTCTCGCCAAAAAGGTATTGCAGGAAATTGACGACGGAGACCTTCTGGCAGTCGATCAATTCCGCATCCCCACTTCCATAGTAGTGTACAACCCGTATTGTGCCTTCGGGTCAATATACGTCGGCACGGTGCCTCCGCATATATTCTAGCACGTGGTCAAAGGTCGGCACGTAGGCAACAAAAGCACTCACCAGTTGCGTGGCAGGGTAGGTTCAAGGGAAATACCGTCAGATCCTCGGACTTGAAGGCATCAAATAATGTGCCAAACGCACTCCGCCACGAGTCCTTCTGGTAGTGCGTGTCAGTGAACTTCGATCTATGGCAGTGATGTATTCACCCAATTTTCAGATTCACAGGGATGCGCAGACGCACTCACCCACCATATACATATGGAAACTCATTAGGCCTGACCCTATGCCTGCATGACCTCGCCACATAGCATACTAGAAGCCAGGCCAGTGGTCGCGGGGGTAAACTGTAATGGCGTTGTGGAATAATTGACCTTGATGGTTCCAACTCAGTGTGCAGTGGCAAGTTGAACATTTGACTGGCACCGTAACATCAGGTCACGCTGGACAATGGGTAGCACGAAGTGATGAATTGCTGCAGTGGTTGGTTGAACTCGCTGATGCCCACAGCGAGCACGAAGGTTTCGGCAACGTGCTCGGACTGCTGTGACATCCATTGTTAGGTGTGCTCTGTATATACAACAATAAATACAGCGGACTATGAAAAAGGTACGCGGCATGACAGCAAATCGAACCGTCACCAAAGATCCACCATACGAATATATTGTGGATGAGTCGGTGTCGAAGGGCAGACATAACAAGGGGTTCGAGATGTAGATGGCAAGACAAGCGTGCAGTCAGTGTGTATGTAATTGCACGCGTTCGCATTGTTTCTCCTATTCTTGCAGACATCGTGCCCTTTAACTATTTCAGCTCTGAGTATCTGTCATTACAGTAGAAGGATAGGCGACGGTAAAAGTTCTTGGTGAAACTTCGAAAGACACAAGTTATGGTGGAGTTGGCGTTTGAAGCGCCCACACAAGGACGATAATTGACAGTAGGGTTAGGGTTCCAGGACAGACCTTCCTGGGACTTGAATCGAGCGCGCGACAGTCATGTCCAACAGCACCAAACCGCGTGTTGACGATGAGGACGACGTCGATGATCTCGACGGTCAGAATCCGACCATATTTTTATTATCTAAATGCGCTCATAAAGGCTAGCAGATGTCCTGGATCAGTTTACTCCGCCCAAAGCCCCCGCGTCTAGTTCATCTCAACCCTCAACGTCATCGCCTGCCGTGAACGAACCAACCTCGTCTCAAACATCGAAACAACGGCCATCTTCTCCCAATGCTGACTTTGGAGCTGATTTTGCGAAATCACTTGCTGAAGAAATGGAGGCTCTTTGGCGCGGTATGGCACAGCAAGAAGTGGATGAAGGTTTAAAAGGTGAGACTTCAGAACAACGAGAAGAGCGGGAGCGCACCCTCGCAGCGGCTTGGGAAGCGATGTTGATAGAAGAAATGGATGGCTCGATGAACCCACCGCTCACACAGGAAGCACCTATTGCCCCAAAAACTGGAGAGAAGGACGATTTCCAATCACGCATCCGGAACACTATGAACAAGCTCAAGGAGAGCGAGTCAGGCTTGAAGTCGTCAGATCCGAGCAGTTCTGCTACTAGTACTGATCCACTCGAGGCGCTTTTATCCCAATTCGGAGGGGAGGATGAAGAGGAGATGCAGGGTGTCCTGGAAGCTATGATGGGCCAGCTTATGGGCAAGGACGTCTTGTACGAGCCCTTGAAAGAACTTTCGGACAAGGTAGGCCTGTTTCTTGACATAGCGTTGCTTCTGATTTTTCCCTTCGTCATATCTACAGTTCCCGGACTACCTCAAGGCCAATGCAACTACATTAACGTCCGATGATAAGTCGCGCTATGATGCGCAGATTGTCTGCATGAAACAACTCCTTGAAATTTTCGAATCGAAAGATTACACTGACGATGACGACAAGACGAGAACTAAAATTGTCGACCTCATGGGCGAGGTGCGTTAGTCCTAAGCCTACTATACTCGACATGGCATTGACATCGCCGGTACAATCACAGCTTCAAAGACACGGGTCTCCCCCGGAGGAAATCATGGGCCCATTGCCCCCTGGATTGAGCATGGGCGCTGATGGTATGCCAAATATGCCAGATAACTGTATTATCAGTTAAATGCATATTGGCGGAGGGAATGAATAACTTTAAGCAAATACCTGAGTTTGTAGGCTACGTCAACGGTGCTAATCTAGATTCTTTCGTAGAATTCATTACTTGCCTGCGATACGAAATTGGGCACCAGCTTTGTGTGCCGACTCGCGCTCGGATTGTTGCATCTGCTACATCAAAGATGCGACACGTCCGGGATACCGTGTACCTAATTTTTCTATCCAAGGGACGGATTTACTGTATCATTGCTCTTCCATATCTACGTGCCCATATTTGGAGGACCGTGTCTATGCAGTGCGACCGGTCAAACACATCGAATAGGCTACTCCTCAAATCTATAGATGTCACGTGTGACGTTGACTGACGAGCACCTAGACAGTTTGATCAGTGATAGCATTTCAATCTGTCCCGGATCCTCCTGTCAGTGCATAGCGTCGCACGTGTTGTGTGTCGTTAATATTAACGTTAACCCTATCCATAGTATTCGCACTTGGCTAACTTTTCCAGCTAGGCTGAAACAGCAGCAATGCATATAGCCATTTGGTGCTGCTTCTCTTCTTGCCCATGTGCCCTCGGGCTGTCTCCGAGCGTGATGGTGACCATGATCTTTGCGATTTCTTGGCAAATTCCTTCGACATCAGAGATCGGAGACTTCGATCCCTCCAATATCACTGCGATCAAAAGTGCTGAGCGCTGATGCATGATGGATGGCGTGATTGGACCAAATCAGAAGTTTTTCTCATTTAACTTTTTTTTTGCACTGACAAGTCCTTACAAGCTACAGTAACAAATCACGAGGAACCCTGATTACACAGTAAACATAGGTCATGCATAAAGTGAATACGAAGGTTGAGAAGAGGGGTCTATCACGCGTATCCGAACGATTCGACGTGCAAAGTCACGCTCGGTCCACCACTGAGAATACTGGAAGGCCCCGAGACCGGGAAGCGAAGTGCATGTCGGACCGAGCGTGCTATAGCCTGCGATCCGCAAACTATTGTCACACTCATCAGCTGCACGTTCTTGGAGGCCGGCGTAGTGAGTACTTACCGCTCACCGACATCCTCCCCGAGGTCACACCGACTTCTTCTTTGAGCAGTGTATCTAGATTCGGTCTTCCAGTGTCCATCTTAACCCCGCGCAGTGACAAGAATGAGAGAGATAAGGAATTTCTCTTGATTATCACATGAGCGGGACTGCCTTTCTTCTCAGTTGAACTTGAAATGCTCTCCCTGGACAAGTGAGATTGCGGCGTGGGTGAAGAAGCGGTGATAAAGATGCGAATAGAGACTGTCAAAGATGGCGGAGCAAGCTGAACAGCCTTGATAAGTGCTTCTTCAATCCATTGGACAGATTCTGCAATGTATAGCGTTACTTAGTATTCTTCATAGAAGCTGCGGATGATTATGAAACTACGCACCCGCCCCGCGAATTGACCAAATGAACACTATGCGTGTGCAAGAGCTTTTCCCTTTGCGCACGCGTCTATAACAAGAATTAAAAATCAATAAAAAAAATTGAAATGAAGGCACATACTCAATAACGTTGAGGAAGACCGGGAGGGTATATGAGACACCAGATCCGCCTAGATTCGATCAGTACTAAGTGATTACGAGACAATGTACAGCTGACCTGCCACCAATACAGAGGTGTCGTAAGAACCGAGGTCAGGAGATGGGCCATAAGGACCATCTACAAAAACCTTGACAGTTTCCTTTTTGGCAGCTACCTCCTTTAGCTTTTTCGTAAACCCTCCTTGCACGTTAATGAAAAATACCAGCTCCTTCCAGAATGGAACGCTAGATCCCAGAACCTCACCGCTGGATTGATCATCTGCTGATACGGTTGACAGGAGACTAGAATCAAAACTCGCAATAGTAAAAGGGTGCGCTTCGAATGGCAGTGTCGAAACTGAGGGCATGATTAGATATGCCGTTTGTCCTGGGGACCAATGGAAATGCGGGGGTCGACGTAGACGCAATCGAATGACATCTTCAGAAAGCAGTTCTGTCTCTGCGTCCATTGTCCCAGTTCCTGACTTGAAGCCGAAGTAAGAGTGATTGAATACAACAAGTCGAACCATCCGGACGAAGCGATCGAAAGCCCAGAACACAAATGAGGGCCATATCCAGTACGACCCGCTAATGACCGCCAGTCAGGAATGAAGCTATCAGTATTAATGTACACTTACTGAGCACCTTGGGTGTGGAAATATCCTCCCACCAGGAATATACTAGGTTCTGTTGGTTAAAAAATCACCAGCGCGGAAAAATCCTACACCCACCCGACACCAAGGAAGTGGACGTAGAAGAAGACCTCGTAGGCTTCAGCGCGAACGGGACGCAGCGATACTAAGATCAGAATGGAGAAAGCAACCATGGCAGTGATACCGCCACGAAGCCATGCCTCGCTCAAAGTCTCTTGGAAGCTTTCAATTAACTCGATTAGAAAATTGCAAGTACGAAATAGAAGATGCGTACGAGGGATATGATACAATTTCACCCGCCGCATGTACCCAAAGTAGCATGAAGCATGTCCTAGCCATCATTCGATGGATATAATTGAGCTTCATATACATGATTAAGTGCTCCGTGGATAGTAATTAAGGGCCATACCCTATCGTAGCTGATGCCTGTAACCACTGATGCGAAAAACTCAGCGACACATCAGATTCGCAGCGTTTCCACCTACAAGACACGATATTGTTCTTTGTGCCAAGAGCCGTGACAATGGGAAACTGACTGGACGCCAGTATGGCTATGCGGTTGCACCAGTAGGTGATATCAAGCTTCTGACCTTCAACTGAGGTTGCTGTGTGATTCAGCAGTTAATGCGGTGCAAGTAAGACCGTACACAATCTTGTGAGCTTACTGTTAATGAAGGCATAGATTAACAAAAGGGCGATGTATGCCACAGTCACAAAAACCTCTGCCATGTTGAGGGTATAAGATCGCCCTATTTCTAGTGTCCATCGGAAGGCAATAACGCGATAGAAATTTATGATCACAAGCGGAATTCGACGAAGAGAAATTTTCTGATGAACGCCATTGGCGATAGTCGCTTCTTCGTCGGACCCATGGTGTCCGCGCCGCCTGGCGAACTTGGAGTGAAGGAATAAACCCCACTGGAAGCAGCCGACTACGAAGAGAAAGGCGGCGATCGTATACCACACTTGTTCAGGGTACTTGGTATTTTCATCTATGATCAAGTTGATGTCAGCTTCAGAGAAACGAGAAGACATCTTAAACGGTTGTGAAGAGAGTGTGGATCCCAACAACTTGAACGAGCAAACTAAATAGGAGGAACATACTGGCGGTGCATGGCTTTGTAAATCTGAATTTAACGTGAGTTCACGAGGGAATCATGCAGATGCTTTTGGCTAAGGATAAAAACCGGGTCAGTGGGCTGCGGCGCTTGAACCGATTCATTAAGTGGGTAACCATCAAAACCTTATCTAGCAAAGATGCAATTGCAAGGTGCGGATAGGCTCGAAGAGTTAACGTTGAGGCTCGAAACACTGTGATGACACTGAGTCCGCAGCCTCTCGGGTTATTGTCTATGCTGGCATGATTGCTTGGCTAACCTGGTATGGCAATCCCACTTGCCAGTATTACACATCATCTCGTGTGCTGTCTCCATTGGAGGGTGGTGTAAGATTCGATTACCGCTCATCGAGCGCTCTCCGCCGCAACCCTCCCGAGTCTATCATAATATATCGCTTAGGGTCCGTCTGAACGCGTGGATGTAAAGGCAACGCCTTGCGGGCCAATACCGCATTTGCTGTCTTATTGACTCATTACAGCCTCGAGGTATTCCGCTTTGGATTCGCGGGTTCACAAGCTGTCCGAACTGCGGGTTCTGGATCGCGATCCCGGCTATGATAGCGGACATGAAAGTTAAGGTCAGAAAGTTCCTGAAAGTGAATAATCAGACTAGGACTTTTCGAGTCGAGGATGGGCGCTATGAGCTTTCACGTAACAGTCACTGCAGGCTCGACTACAACTCGCTGTAAACTCACTCACTGAGACTCGGTGTCCAGAGTTTAGCGCAGCCTGATATTGTCGTCTCCACGGTGGTCGCCGTTGATTTCATTGGAGTAACCATTCATTTTTAAGGATTGACGAGGGATGTGTTATTCAATTAGGCTCGTATTGAGCGCCTCTATTGAATGATTGGATAGATTGTGCTTTACATAATGAACCCTCACGACTCCCACGGTAGTGGGGGAGTATAGCGGAAACGTATGGTACAGCTATTACAAAAAAAGTACAAGACTGGACACGGACACAAGAAAAAGTTACGTCCATACGACTCAAGGTCCTTCGATCAAGCAAGATATCACCGCGTACCCGGTGGGTACGGGTGAGAAGATCTTTGCTGCTTAGAAAGTAACGCGTAACGTTACGGCAATCCACCATCAATCAAAGAAGATACCGCCGTCGATCGTTATCTGTCCGTGAATCATATCAGATTGTGTCCCTCGGTACGAGTGAGGAGATACTTACTGTTTGGCCTGCGGAGCAACGTGTTACACCCATCAGTTACGAGCTTGTGATACTCGCCCAATATACATATACACACCTGTAATGAAACGTGCTTCCGGGGTTGCCAGGAATGAAACAAGGTTTGAAACGTCCTGGGTAGTTCCGAGGTCACCTACTGATGACAACCGTTTGAACTCAAGTATGAAAAAATGTTAAAATTAGCATCTCATGCACATTGTTGGAAAGGGTCACCTCATCGTAAACGTCGTTATAATCAGCTGATCCAGCCAATCCAGCAACTACGCGGGGTAAAAGTTACCACCCTATATTAACGTATAATTCTGGAAACTTACGCATTGCTGTTTGGATTGTTCCTGGCGCATATGCGTTCACCGTGATTCCGTTGCGACCAAGTTCAATGGCTTACAAGGAACGTTACTAAGGCCGGGTGCTTGCGAGACTACTAAGTGCACTGTACCTGCGGATTGCGTCAGCCCTCGGATAGCAAACTTGGATGCGCAGTAAGCGCTGAGTGAAGGATGTCCTGAAAAGATATGTCGTCATACACGAAGGAACGGACGCATATGTTGACCTGCCTTTCTTTCCCGCAAGGGAGCTTGCACCGATAATTCGCCCACCCTCACCTTGAGCTATCATCTGTTGCGCTGCATATTTGTAGCTGTAGAAGGTGCCTTTGACGTTGACTGAAAGCACAGACTCAAAGTCATCGGATGTTGCTGCGGTAGAATTTCAATAAGTTCCGGCGGTACGCTGGCTATAACTTACTTTCCAAGAGTGGTTTTGATTTGCAAATGCCTGCGTTCGCAACAAACTATGATAAGATGAGTTTGGTAGGACAATTGAACCAGTTGTAAACAACTCACAACATTCAAGCTGCCAAACTCTTTAACTGCACTCTCAACCAGACCTTTGACATCCTCCTCGACGCTGACATTCCCAAGGACAGTCAACACTCTGCTCTCTGGGAAATCGGCAGTGATTTCCTTCTTGACTTCCTCCAAATTCTCTTTGTTGCTTTCCAAATCGTTGATCACGACGTCATAACCATCTCTTGCGAGGCGTATTGCGATGCTGCGTCCGATTCCTTGCGCGGATCCAGTGACGACTGCGACGCCTTTGGAGTTGGGTTGTGTGGACGTCATTCTTTTTCCTGGTGTGTAGCGAAATGCTGCTTTCTTACTGTTCTCTTATGGGGCTCAAGACCTTTTGTACTCGGGCAGGGGTCACCACTAGTGCCGACATCTCAATCCGTCGAAAATATAAATGGCGACCCACCTGACCATGAGTGCGTAAACATCTTAGCATTTTTTCATTACGCCAGAAGGTTCAATCGCGTTCACAAATGTGCCTATTCCTCTTTCTGCACACTGTCTACGTTACAATTCCACGACCATATCGCATTTAGCGCTGAGCTGTATGGCACCCGTCAATGCTAGGAATTTTTTGCAAGGCTATCTTCCAACTGAAATAAAAACGACTCTTCCATTCCATCAGGTTTTGTTATCGCCTTATCCGCCCCATCATCTTTATATCTGGCAAGACCATATTGTAATGCACTAGGAGCCTGTGACGTTTCCCAGACCAGGAAGCCTGGGAACATCCGCTAAACGTCGAATTCCGGCCGAAACTTTACCTAGGATGGGTTGTGCGAGAGATCACGTCCAAAGACATTTAGTTCTAGTGTTGCTAGAAACAATCGACAGGCGATAGAAGCTAGCAGCAGAACCCGCGGTAATACATGCTTTACTACCCTGCTCACGATGCCCTATTCTGTAGCGGAGTACATGGCGATTTGGCATCAGTAGGTCTTCCCTCAGTCTCCGGGTCGGAACCAGACGTTATGAACCTCACGTCAGAACTCCTCGGAGCTTGGAGGGAAAGTGCTCGATAGAGGACGTGTGCAACATGCACACGACATAATCAAGGGGCTCGCATTGCGCCATCGACACAGTTACCCGGTTTTAAGAAAATATTCACGTTCGTATACCGCATACCTCATGAATGATAACAATAGCGAAAGGGGCTAACTACTGCGCCACTGATGCAATAATCCGATTTCGAGGAAGATATTCACGTTCGTATAAACAGCGGAAAAGGCTAACACTGCGCCAGTGGCGCAATAACCGGATTCCGAGAGACAACTCACGTTTGTATGCCGATCGACTGCATCCGTTCATTCCAATCCTTTCGTTCTTTGCTCTTTCTTTGCTCCTGTGCAAATAGGTAAGGAAAAAGCTTCTCACTGTTCTGTCTGTCCTAGCAGGTGCGATAACCAGTGGGTTACAATGTGCTTATATGCTTTGCCTGATTTCCTATTCCCTGTGTCTCTTTACTCCCTAGCTGTTGTAATCTCGTCGGAGGAGTGACACCTGCAATACTGGTAGAATGGTGAGTATTTTTATTTGTCCAGTCCGCCTACATGTCTCGCAGAAATTGCTATCTGATCTATCCAGCTGGATTTTCTTCTGGACACCGGCGATCGGATTTCAGTAAAGCCCGGCACGTCGACTGTGGCAACTTTCTCAGAGTGGTTTTGGTTTGCGAGTGTACCACGCAGGCACTTGCAAATCAAAACCACTCAGAAAGTACTGGTCAATCGTGATATTACACACGCTTGACATGTAGCCAGTTATAAATAACCCACAAGCTTCAGGTTGCCAAACTATCCAACTACACTCTCACCTTGCGCGGATCTGGTGACAGCTATGACGCCTTTGGAGTTGGATCGTGTGGACGTCGCCCGGCTTTGAGTTGGAGTACGGCAAAGCGCTGCCTTCTTGCTATTCTCTTATGGGGGCGGTGGACCTTTTATACTCAAGAGGGCTGCTAATACCGACGTCTCGATTTGTCGAAAATGAAATGGCGGCCCATCTGACCATCCATGAGCACCGCATCTGAAGCTTCACGAAAGTGGCACCTACTGCCTTTTCTGCACGCACTACCATTCCACGGTGATATCACTTCATCGTAGGGCCAAGAACATTATGGAATCCATCAATACCAGGAGTCCTTTGTAGGCAATCAGTCTTCCGCCTGAAACAACAGTGAGTCATTCATTGCATCAGGTTATATCATTGCCTTATTCACCCCGTCGTCATTTTTATATCTGGTAAGACCAAAGTGAATTCGCCTTGGAATACACAGGAAATGGCATTCATTAACAACTAGCCTGTGATGGCTTCAAGGCCGAAAAATCTGCAAATATCCTGTAGACTTTAAGTCTCGACCGAGGTTTCTGAATCTGACCAAGGCTAGATTTACTTGCGAGAGTGATATTGCCCGAAAGAATCGACAATATTAATCTAGCAGTAGGACCCGCGGTAGTCGATGCTTTGTTGCGTCCCCGTTGACAATTTCCTATCCTGTAGCGGCGCACACGGAGCCAGTCCTGGCTCCCATTTGGCAACAGAAGGGCCTCTCTTAGTCTTTGGGTCGGATGTCAATGCTCCTTGAAATTTGGAGAGAAGATGCAAGATGTACGTCCTCTGCACTTTTTCTTTGAAATCCGATGTCAGCTCGAGAACATGTGCGCACAGGTTATGCATCAACGTCCGAGCACAGAGCCTTGTTGCTAATGTTGTTGGAAGAACTCAGGTGCAGGGGTGCGGCGGAACCGTTTCAGGGCATCCGAGACTCGTCGAGATATAATTTAGATATGATAGCAATAGAGCACGAAAACCGACTGTTGACTCCCTATAGAAGAGAGATGCTGGCTATGGAAGACGCCCACTGAATCACTAATTGATCGACGACAATTTCGAGCGAGTTGTGAACAGCTCAAATTGGTACTACTGAACATAGAATCATGTTACATAATGTGGCGATTAGGCGCTCGAATCCATGGCCGTAACTACTACTAAACCATCCTATCGCTGTACAAATACAACCGCTCCCCTGCGCCAATCAGCGCGCGTACTTTTCATAGGAAAGACAGGCAACACCGCTAATTCAAATATTTGTTCCTTGACCTGATTCGACTGTTCCACAACCTGCTTCCGGAAGTTCTACCGCCATCCCCATCCAGGGATGCGAAGCTTCAAACCTGGATGAATATATTGATTACCCCTGGAGTAAGGAACAACATATACGTGTAACCTAGCAAACGCAAGGCTGCTCCGGTGTGTCGTGTCATCCTGAACATTGGGGTCAAACTTATATAAATCATGAAATTAGCCTTTTTATTGATGCTAATATTCCCTTCCGCATTGGTGATGATGAGTTTTTCCACAAGTTCGTCGATGTCATCCGTCCGTCGTATCGTATATCATCCCGTAGCATGTTATTTTGCCATCTGCTCGGCAGAGAAGATTTCTCAGGCTCTTGAAGCATCCTTTGCGTGGGCGCCTCCGCTCTCAGGCTCAACCGAGCCTCGTAATGCAGATTGACTTGCTTGTACAATGTCCGGAGAGTATCTCGCCTGACAACGTTGCCGCTGAATTTGCAACTTTCGGAGTGTTAAAAAGGACTGAAGAAGTTGAGAGGCCATCGACGAAGTTGAAGTGTTCGAGTTGACTTTGGTGAGTTAGATTAGGTCGCGGGGGATAATTTGACTTTCAGTTAATTTCGCGTCGTTCTGTGGGTGTGATGTGAATTATCTCACTTTCCCGGCGCTAAAAATGCAGATTCGGACTTTCCTTTTGGAATTGCTTTGCGAGTAAACTCAGTGCTCACCTTCAACGTCGTGACTTCACGCAGAGTTTGGGCAGGTTGCTGGTGACGTGTGATTCGACTGGAGTTTGTGGCACAGTGACGTCTCCCTCAGACCCTCGCCGCTCCGAATCCACGTCGAATCTGTTGGGGGCCATAGATATCATTGAATTGCCCAGAAGTCGTTCGTGCGCTGGATGTAATTTGACGTTACTCCATTAAAGGGTTTACCAAGTTAGTGCAGTGCTGGCTGGCACCTGAGACTATCCGGGTTTGTCATCCACCTCATGAATCAGTCAGTGGCAGTACTATGCTAGTGAGCTTTTGTTGTGTCCATTTTTGTCCAATGATTGAGACGTATTTTATATAGGACGGTGCTTGCTAGTCTAGTGGGACTCCCGGTGTCCCCGTCGCATCTCTTACTAGTCAGCTTGCAGCGCTGAACGTTTGAATGTTCGGACACTGAAGGGAGCTTTACCTCAGTGCTAGTGCCCATGTAGTACTGTCCTGTCCCATGCAATCGGCAGCCCCCAGAAGTCGGCACTTTCACAAAACTCGTATTTCCAGCCACTTAAACACAAAATTCTCAACATAGATATCATTCTTTCTCTAATACAACTCACTACGAGGTCGAACAGATACGATTGAAGCAGAATTGAGTGAGATGGTTGAAAGTGCCAAAGTCACGCAGAAAATGTCACCTGCCGATGTGTGCCGTGACGGAGTTTCAATATTGCACACACCAGTGCCGACTGGTGCTGTGCTGCTGGTCATGGGGCTGGTCCGCCTTCGCAAATCCATCAGCGGGAGACGAGGAAAGCTGCGAGCTTCATCAGACCCTACATATGAGTCGCGCATTCAAGCTGCAATTCAGGGAATTGCAAATGGGCTATATAAATCTGTTGCAGCTGCTGCAAAGGAGCAAAATGTGAGTTGTCATTCGTCATGTGATTATTTACTCAACTGGTCTAGGTATTGCATCAGACACTGAGTGATCGATGCTTGGGAGTCCATAAGTCTTGTCAGCATGCTCATGAGGGTCAGCAATTGTTATCTGCTGCACAGGAGGAAACTGTTGTTGACTGGTGTAAATTGGTGTCTGCATCTGCAACTCCTATCCACCTGGTGAAGTTGCGTGCATGTGTTAAAGAAATAACTGGTTGACTCCTGTCACGAAAATGGCACAATCGGTTCATTTGTCGTCATTCATCCCTCTGTGTATCTCGACCAAGTGGACTGGATCCAAAGCGTGCTCAAAATTTCAACAAGGATACCATTGGGGAGTTCTTTGAGATGCAGAAGAAGCTTGATGATGACTATAATAAAATTCCACCAGAGCATCATTGGAATATGGACGAGAAAGGGAATCAGATGGGTGGGGGGAGGAAAAATGCTGGCATGAAATTTATTTTTTCTGTGGAAGATTCAGATTGTTATCAGGTCCATAGTGATAATCTAGAGCTTGTAACCATTCTTGAGTGTGTCTCTGCTGCTG